GGTGGGGCAATAAGAGTATACTTAGTCAACACACTCTACTCAGCAAAAATCACTTAATTAATATCATCACAACACTTTGGGAGATTCCCCTCCATCAGGTTGCTGCATCCTTCCTATAAAACTGCATGCAGATACGTATATTGAACTACTACTGTACCGCTACTGTATACTTTCTACATCTACTGTATACGTGTGTCGACATTGTCATTCATTACACTCGATTATCAACTAAAAAAGCAAAAGTTACATTTTCGCAAGATTGGAGATTTATGACCGAGTATTCTTCAACCCAATACGATGTATAGTAGTTAGCTGCAACACAGACTATATGTCCATAAATGATAGGTAATATAAATACCGCATGAAAAACCATTTATGAAATTTTGAAATTTTACACAAATAGAGCTTTGAGGAGGTTGAAATCCATTTTAAAAATCAGGCCGTTTTATCGGCTTTCCTATCCCCCCAGTTGAATATGTAAATCAAATCCTATCCTAGTATGCTCATTGCTTGGAGCTTGAGAAGGTGAAGTAGGAATATAGTTGCACTCTAAATGCACGTAAACGCGGCATTTAGAGTGAAATAAATATTATCGCATGGTGGCGCACAAACAACCATTAGAATTCGAAAGTTTGAATTAAAAATAAAAAACACAATTTGTTTTGTTCAATCATCTATTGCGAACCTCTTTTGTGAAAAATTAGGTTTAGAGAATTGCCATCTTATACTATAGACTTTGCAATGTAACTTATATATGTTTTTGGGTGCTCCTGAAATATGAGTACCAAGATGGCGAACACCGAAACGTAGCATGTGTACCAGGTTAGGGTTAGGTCATAATTTTATTCCAATTTTCCTTATTCTATTTGTATTACGAGTTCGGGGACTAGCCAAGTGACTCCCGAAGTAATTGTATCTAAAATTATGGCCTAACCCTAACCTGACACACATACTACGTTCCGGTGTTCGCCACCTTGATACGCATACTACAGCAGTACCCGTTTTTGATCTCGCTGTAGAATATTACAAATTTTTGAAGTTTAGAATTTATTTATCCTATCAATGCTGAGGAACACAGTATCTTCATCTCTTCTTCATTATATTTATTGGCATTGAAAAAGGGGGGAAAACTTTGGACTTTACATACTTTTTTCAACATGTATTAAGAGGGTACTCCCGTAGTGTGTGTACCAAGTTAGGTTTAGGCCATAATTTTATTCCGATTTTTCTTATTTTAGTTCTATTACGGCTTCGGGGACTGTCTGTGTTAGTCAAGTGAATGTACCCCCCCCCCCCCCCCCCCAAGGCCCACAGGCTTCAGTCTCTTTACACAACTTGATATAAAGTAGGCAAATTAGTTGCCCCCATATTGGTACACACACCATTAAAGTATATTGAACCTTGCAAATTTATATAAAAATTTATTCCCCCGGCTACAAAAAAAAAGAAACTATACGATCAGTTTTGTGACGGTAATATCAATCGGTAATATAAGAAGAAATAAGACCAGCGGTTTTCAATCTTTTCGGTGGAGCATAACCACAATGAATCATTCCAGAGACTCGAGAAACCCTTGTTAAATGAAATTATGTTTGATTTTCTGAAGTCAAATAACCATAAATATAAATGAAAGCAAATCTAATATTGACTGAACAAAATGATATATAAAATTCAGCATGTTTAATAATAACTTTAAATGTAATAAGTATTTGACTATATTTCAGCAATACATTGATTAACATAGCGTGTCCATGAAATTTTAAAACAACAAGCCTGGTTAAGATATATTGATAACTGACTTCATAACAAAATTGAATATGTGAAGGGACTTTATGGTCACCCTGTATTATTATCAATATAGACTCTCGTATTTGAAGGAAAACTTTCGGAACCCCTGATTTGTACTGGCAGAACCCTACGATGCCGCGGAAACCTGGTTGATAACCGGTTGGATTAGACATAAAAAAACTCTTCAATTGTCAATCCTACATTGTACCAACAATGTTGTAAACGTGCGTTACAGAAACACTCACTACTAATCGTGATCTATTTTGTATTATTGAGATTCGGAAATGCATGCGATGTCCCAGAAATGCTATGAATGGAACTTTCCATGAGTGAGTTTAATCATCACAGATTTATCATACGATGTATTAAATCAGAAAAATGCCAAATATTCCCACTTTTTTACGGTTGGAAGAAAAATATTTTGAATCAAAAAGAGAAAAAGCAACAACCCCATTGACGTATGCATTGTATGTCCACAAACCCATTCAACCGAGCTTTTCTCCCGCAATAAAGCGCACGTTGTTGCCATGATTATACGATTAGGTAGCGAAGCTCAAGCCCCGCGAAATATTTTCAATATTAGATGGATTTCGCAATACACTTCTTCCTACGTAATGAACAATGTTCTATAATCAAAATTCAGCTACTTAATCTATATTGCATTTCTAGGTGAATGTTTAGCGAAAATGTCTTTCTAGGTATATGTATAGCGAAAATATCTAGAAATGAATTTAATAAATACGGCTATAAGGATCTTATATACACAAATCTCTTTTCATTGTATTTTGAATCAATTTTCGACTTATTGTAAATATTTGAGAGAAACGTTTATTCAAATAAATGGTGGATTTTCCCATTTCATACAGTATATGAAACAGCCATGACCGATCTTATGTAATACAAGAATCGCCAATTCCTAATTCATTTAATTTCATAATAACATACTTTTGTAGAAAATTCCAATTTTTTTTAACAGCGTTGGTAACAAAGATAAAGAAAGGGCTTAACCGCAGCACCATTGAAGTATAAAAGCCGTTTAGTAGAGAAAGTTTCTCTTATTTGTCACGTTAATCGCCCCCGAACTCAGTAACATCACGCATTTGCTGCTGAGTCAAATGCGCGCCCAGTCGAGCACGAATTAGCGATAGATCCCCGCTTAAAAAACCCACTTCTTGAATGGACGTATTAATGTAGTAAACTCAGGAATGGGCTCGATAAAGTGAAGTGTATTTAGGGCTATATAGTTCATAGATTGAAACATACAGTGGCAGAAGCTGCATAGATATCGTGGATGTGTTGGGGTGTTATTTGTGAGAAATACTGCTTGATGAGCATTATTGAAATACTAGAATTAGGATACAAAATATCTATTCTTTAGGCCAGGGTTTCCCAAACTGTGTGCCGCGGCACACTAGTGTGCCGCCAAGGTCTTGAAAGTGTGCCGCGATTTTTCATAAAATTCCTGATATTTTTTTCACAATAATCAACACTGCAACATGAACTTTATTACATTGCAATCAGTGATGGGGTAGTTCGGTAACCCACAACCGGAACCCAGTCCATTTGGAACATATTCTATGGGTTCCGTTTTTTGGTTCACTTTGTATAAAGATTATTCTGTGTCCATCGATAGATGATGTAATATGCAACACTTTTCCAATATATAAGGTGTTATACGTTTTCGACACGAACTCAACAATGCAAGTTTGCTCAAAGCAAAGTCGCTAGATTTCAACTAGACAATGTTTTTCAAACTGTTAGCAGTTAAGAAATCAAAGAGACTGTTTAAGGTGGGCTATCACGCAAACATCTTTGTGGCAAATTTGATTCTATATCCCTTTTTAAGATTTTTGGTGTTCACCGTTTGTCCCGTTGGTGACGTATTAGTGGGAACTCGTCGGCGTAATTTTGCATTAGATCAATGGCTATTATAGCGTTCTGTGTATTTGGCGGTGCATTTGGAAAACGCTTCAGTGGTTTAAACACATACCAATGTCTTAAATAATATTATCGCATTATGAGAAATTACAGTAAACTCAACAAATCGAGGTCAAGATGTACTCGAGTTCTGTGGCGGACCTTTCGCTGCAACATATTTTTTCAATGAAATAACGCATACCGGGCTATTTTTTGTCTCAAATCATCTAGATTTTATAATTTAGGTGGGTTTATTCTGCTTATCTGATCCTGTTACTTGTCTTTTTGTTATATTGTCGGTATATATAGATTGTAAATAATAATTTTCTGCGCAGACATAAATTAAAAGCTAAAAACGATCAAGACGTGTTACAATTGACCCGCAAAATCTTGTTTTTAATCTTATTTACTGTCGAAACGAATAATGTTCACGGATAAGGGATTTAATAAAACTGATTTGTAATAAGTGTGCAGCGACTTTTTCATCACGCTGTTAGTGTGCCGCAAGCTGAAAGAGTTTGCGAACCCCTGCTAAATATAAAAATGGGAAAAAGTGTAATTGCATTTGGGTTTTTGGTCGTGACTATTATGTTGATAATTTGACTATTTATTCGTGGAGTCATCATACAATTTTCATCAATTTCAGAGACAAATAAATTTTTATAGTTTTATTGGTCTGGAAGCAGTATTATGTGGTTAAATAAATCTTTTGTGGATTGGAGTTGTAAGAGTGAAGATTAAATGCGATAAGAAAGGCTTTAAAAGTGTTTACATATAGGAGCAATCTGTATTTAGTATTTTTGTTTGACAATTACAAGATCTTCAACAGGTAGCCCGAATTCGATTAGATTATGTTGCCTTCCGGATTGAAATTTGAATGAATAATTTGTCAAGGACTCACCGATATCCTGCTTATCTCACGCTTGTATTACTTGTGTAATGATGTTTGCTATGACAAAGTCATGATTGTATCAGAAAGAGCTACCTACTTGTATAGGGTTAAGTCAGAGTGAATGTTCTCTTCCAGAGTCTATTTTAAAATCAGTATGCAGCACTTCAGGAAAAAAAAAAAAAAAGCGATGCTATCGATATTTTCTAGAATTATTTATGTTGCAATGACTGTGCTGTAGTGTAAATATTAAAAATGATTATTGATTCTATTTGTTCATAAGTTTTAACCATTGGCCCAAAACGGCAATTATTAAGCAAATCTTTGTAATAGATGAATTCAATTTATTGACCGTTTAATTCACTAATTTCCTTCCAATCTCCAATTTTCAACCACATATTTTTGTTTTATACAGCCTTGTACCGATAATAAATATTTGTTTAATTTTGATTTCGGAACTTTCAAGATGAAAATCTTGCTGCATTTGGCCTGCATTTTCTTACTCGTGCAATTTGGACATGGCGAGGTATTATTGAATAAATTTATCATACACTTTATGGGAAAAGTGCTTTAAAAGATGATTTGAAAATTTTTGCGAGAGAGACCGATGAGGGTATTTCCCCCAATTCTTCAATATTGGACACACAAATTTTAAATTTACAACCAGTAACAAAACAAAGCATTGCCTCCCCAAATTATCACAACTTGTGTACGTGCAACTTGATTACAAGTTCGTGATAACATAGTGATAATCGGTTATAATACTGAAAAGGTATTTGATGACGAGATCAATAATGCGGAAAGTTGTGAAACTAAAATTATATAATACCGAAGAGCCCACGTCGAAACAAAACAAGAATAAACAAACTTTATAAAAGTATAACATCTAATATCCTTTGACCGTAAGGCGAGAGATCGAAGCCTTTTTGAATCCATGGCCAGGACATATAATGTATTTACCAAAGTAACAAACATCCTTTGTAACGAATTAAAATTAGGACTGAATGAAAAATACTAAGTGAGATTCCTGTTAACAGTCTAAAACAGTGGTTCTCAAACTTTTCTTTGTCCCAGAACACCTACGTCTTTTATCTCGCATTGCGGCACACCAAGAAATAAGAAAGTAAAATTGATAATAAAAAAATTTCGTTTGTCGCCAATTGGGAGACAAATTTACGACCAAGAGTCGCCTAAGTACCGCCGAGATCGCACTGACGACCGATCCTGTCCCGCGGAACACTCCGAAGATACTCGCGGTACAGCAGTGTTTCACGGGACACAGTTTCGAGAAACACTGTTCTAAACCACGTGTCCCTAGATTCAAAACAATAAATAAATTATAAATCCTATTTGTTCAGGGAGATCGGGAATTCTTCAGCATACTTTCGGAGGGAATCACGGACGCAGCCAAATTATATTTTTCCAGAAATGTGAAGTTGGATGGATCAGGTTTCAATGTAATAAACGAGGAAGATTTTTACACTCCCATTGGGTTATTCGAGACGCAGTATGGAAAAGATGCGTCGACAGCAGGGTAGGGAATTTTTGGTAAAAATACCGGTAAAGTGTAGAGTAGACAAAGATGATGTAAATGTTTTGATGCCAACGATGAATGACACGATATGCGCTTTTTTGTTGTTATGGAATCTCGATTTTATCTTATTCAAACGTTCTTTTAACAAGGCCTAACACACAGTTCCATTCGCAAAATAAACGTGGATCAAATGAAAAGTATTTTGTAACACAATTTTGCACACACAACGTAACACAATTATTGGAGTAGTTAAAAAAGGGGAACAGGCATTGTGGTCGTTGTGCTAAATTGTCCATTTGCGATTTTCTCCACAATTAATGGAGCCATCGCTTTTAAATTCGATAGAGGCGTCGATAGACGGATTTTTGTTCGCTTCAAATTTTCCTGTTTTTTTTTAAAATCTACGGGAACTTTCAAATCACGTTTGGTACAAATCCATTATCCTATTTCTGAAAATTTGCAGACTTTACTGTGATCCCAGTTGGTATTTACCTTTTGAGCTTGAAGTTGTCAAACATAAAATTACTTTTTTCAGCTTCACCGCAGGTCTTTTAGATTTCGAATATTTCGAATCATCGAATTTAACTTTCTCTGACGTCACACAACTTGTTGTCGTTGGAGAATTTCAAGACGCAAGAAAAAAGTTTTCAGCTTACATAGAAAAGACTGTGGAAGACCGATTAAACGATTACGGTATCGTTTCGGAAGAAAACATTGAAGACGTATCACAGATAATTCGTGCGGCGTTCCTCTCCCTTTACGACTTTGTTGGTAAGATTAGCGTTCTGAAGGTAAATGTATAGACCGAGTTCGAGTTCCTTGTGTATGTAAAATCTAGCATGATCCGATTGATTAAATTCTTGTTACCAACTTAAAATATGTAGCTAAAGTACGTAATTACCGGACAAAATTGACGACGTATGGAACCTAATTGAGAACGGCTAGCAAAGATAAGTCGTCCAAATGTCGCGTTTTATAAATTAAGTTTGGTTCTAGTTTTAAGCTTCGAGTCAAATTATTATAAATGATTCCAATTCCAAACATGTTTTGAAGGTAAAACTTTCCACCAAAGTTACATTAATAATCGTGATATGCTATCTGCTTCTGTCTAATTCAGGAACGAGTCCACTTCAAACCCGACCCAAAATCACAGCCGTAATTACGTAATACGGAGTAAACAACTCATTTTAATTTATATTTTTATAGATAGCGATTCATTCGCATCTTTCCTTAATCTCAAGTTGGGAAGTTCTTTGTCATTTGTTATGGACACAACTGGAAGCATGGCGGGTGAAATCGAGGCAGCAAAAGAAAGAGTACAAGAAATTATTGACGCCACAAAAGGAACCAATGATGCCCCTTTGAACTACATACTCATGCCATACAACGACCCAGGTATATATTTCGTAAAATAAAATAAAACGGTGTCACTTTAGTATGCAAATCGTATTATATGAATTTCGTTACAAACCACGCAGAGATCAGAATTTACTGTACTCTGTACCACTATATTTCTGTGATTAATTCGGACGCTCTAGCAGTGTGTGTACCAATATGGAGGTAACTAATTTTGTTCGCCTACTTTACATCAAGTTGTGTAAAGAAACTGAAACCTATGACTTGGGTAACACAGGCAATCCCCGAACTCGTAATAGAACTAAGATAAGAAAAAGCAGAATAAAATTATGATCTAACCCCAACCTGGTACACACTATAACGGGAGTACCTTGATTTCAATTTTTATTAAACGAATTCAGTTATTAACATTATTATTATATATCACTTGCAACTATGCTACCAGCACAAACAAATTAATTTCGTTTTTGTATCAAGGCTACGGTCCTCTGACCAAAACGAGCGACCCAGAAGAGTTTACAAAAGCCCTTGCACTACTTTCTGCGGGCGGTGGTGGCAATGAACCAGAATTAGCAATGATTGGGATCTTGAAAGCTGCCCAAAGCAGTGCATACAGGTAGGAACAATTGAATCAATCGCTAAGTGGTGCTTGTGCACATCCTTATACAAGGCAAACGGCAACAATCAGAGTCGTGAGAAAAATAAATTAAAATGGCTATAAACCGTTTAAGTATACGCAAAATGTAGTTTGCATTAAAAACGTATAAAACTGATTCTGAAGTCTTTGACGATGCTTGCTATTATCTCTCTTAAATGCAAAACTCTGGCTATATGAATCAAAATTGTTTTCTTTCTGTTGGACACGAAGTAGACCTATAAATGATTTTGCTAAATGCTTGTCGTTGGGTTTGTTATTTTTGTCTGTTATACTTCGCTTCCCTCTTCACTTAGTAGACCAAACGATTTTCAATTTTCAGTTCTTGATGGTGGAAGAAATATAGGTCGCTGTTACTTTTGCCTCAGGGTTATATATTTTAGCCAAAATTTTGCCATTTTTCTTCAATTCATAATTTTTTGGTATTGGGTCTCTATATTTAAGGTTTTTTCTACTGTATCACTAAATTTATCACTGCATTTGTCGTTTTTCTCGTTTATACATTGGGAGAACAATCAGTTCAAATATTAATTTGGTTATCCAAAAATTGCCAATTTTCTTACTTTTATGTTTTTTGCACTAAACAATTTATACGAACGTCACAGTTAAATTAAAATTTTCAAGTTATGATCAAAAATGATACCTCTAAAGCAGGGGTTGGCAACCTACGGACCGTGCGCCGAATCCGGCCCGCGAGGCAATATAATCCTGCCCGTGACGTTTCACTGAATTATAGTAACAAATTATAGCTGTTTTGTCGATTATATTCTTTACGCAAAAGAATATACGTGTAGACTAAATTTTATTATAACGTAACAAGTATATAATTCACAATTACTCGTTTAATGAGCCTATAATTTAATTATAGTTCAGACAAATGGCAACAAAACGCAAAAAAGTTAATGCTAAGTGCAAATGGTTTAATGGCGCAAAAAATATTCGAATGGTCAGTCTTCACGCGCTACTTAAAATTTACCTTCTGATCTGTGTGATAAAATGTGATTCATCGGTCATCCGTTCGATTTTTAACTTTCTAAAAATATGTGCCGCCCGCCAATGACTTGCAACCTTTAATTTTGGCCCGCGAGCGACAAAAGGTTGCCGACCCCTGCTCTAAAGTCTAAGATATACTTATTTTAAGCTCAAACTTTATTTAAACTTCCAATTACTTCTCTGCAGGTCCATTGTCTATGTTTTCACGGATGCAAGTGCTTTGGATACAGATATTCAAAACCATGTTATTGCATTGTGCTTGATCAAGAAAGTATCGGTAATTGCTTTTTTGTTTTTATTTTTTTAAGAAAGGAAGTATCGGTAGCACCGTTGTTTATAGTTTAGTACGAGACTGGAAAATAACCCAAGGCATAATATATCATAAGGCCAAGCGGTATGGAGAATGTAATTTTACAAAGTAAACTTGCTAGATCCCCATTAGAGCACAATGAGCTGCATTTATCCTAAAGTGGATTGGGGGTAGAAAAATCGCTGATTTTGTATTATTTACCCAGGATAAGGCTTCATTTGGAAAATAGTCTTTACTGGGTACCGTAATCGTTTAAACCACGTAAAACGGCTATGATTTACCAACCAGTCCACAAAAACATATTGCATATATTTATTCGAAAGCGACTCAAATTTTTTTTAAATCAATGATTTTCACATGGGAAAGCAAATTCCTATTAATACATTGTGAAGGTCCAATTTGAATCTAAAATCGATTTCTTTCGAATATGAGCAATAGGTAGAAAGACGTTCTACAGTTAGTTTAATGATGAAGTTCGAAAAAATATTTCAGTGCTATAGCTTGGTATAACTGTTGTCTCATCTGAACGTCAGAGAAATTAAACCAATAAAATTATTCTAAATTTTATTCACTCGCATTTCACTGTGTATCTTACAACTGTTTACATGCAGTTTGCGCTAGTTTATTCATTCGATTCAGTATTAACTTTTTTTTTGCAGGTTTACATATTTTTAACAACAGATATTGCTAGAAAAAAGAGAGAGCTTTTACGAGGAAGAGCTTTATACGATCAAGTTGTTGATCAAACCGGTGGTTCGGTTCTCTTTGTTGGAAAATCGGAAATTACAGCAGCCACAGCTGTCATGCAAGCAACAACTACACAAGGGCTGGTGAGGTTTCCTTTAGATGTGCTTTTATCAAACTTGTTTCTGTTTACCGGTCTAGAGATGAAATTTTTATGAATTTTTTTCACTGTTTTGGTTTATTCTGTAGTTAAGACGAGAATTTATTTCAAGTGTACTATTCAGGGTGCTGAAATGCGTCAAAGAGTATTCTTCAATTTTTTTTTTAAATTTATGATCTTATGACAGATATAATCAACCACTGAAAGATAATAAAAATAAAAAATTGTAACTAAAATTGGAAAATTCAATTTGTCGTGATAATGCAAATAAGTATGGGAATTTTTGTTGGTTTAATAAGTGAAAATAAATTATTATTTAAAATGTTATTTTCCACATATGGTCGGCTGGATAGGGGCGATTTTGTAAATCGTGAGGGCACGAATATTGAAAACCCATCGTGTTAATTCTGCAATCAATCAAAAAACTCCATTGTATGTGAAAAGGTATTTGGAAAATGCAAACTCTGAAACACCCGCAATTTAATGGTTATGCACTGCTGCACCTCATACTCCAAGCGACTCATAATACGATTATGACGTTGCAATGTTAAATGCGACCCTTGTTTGGTCCGGAGAAATGAAACAACGTGTTTACAATATACGAGTGATTGACTTTACCATAGCATTGATTTATGAAATTCTTTCGATTAGCGGGATTACCATCGACCACTTTACACATAATTATATCATAATTTGGCGCTCCAGAAGTGTGTGTACCAATATTACACCTACATATTACCTACTTTACATCAAGTTGTAAAGGGAGGGAAGCCTATGGGCAGGGGTTATATTTCCTTGGCTAACACAGACAGACCCCGAACTCGTAATAGAACTTAATAAAGGAAAATTGAAATAAAATTATAGCCTAACCCTAACCTGGTACACACACCGATAATTTTGTGGCATGAAACTCAATACAGTATTTGACTTTTCCTTAGGTGACCTTGGAATCAATCAGCAATGCAAATGCATCATCAATTTCTGTTCATGTTGACCCGTCAGTCGAGTCTTTGCTTGTCCAGTTCAACGGTGATTTTGATTACAAAGGAGAGACAGGTAGTTTTGTCATTTCTGTAAAATCTCGCCCATTTTTGAAATCTTAATCTTTTTATCTTCTCCTTCACGCAAACCAAGGGTGTGCAACCCTTAGTACAGGAAGGTCAGGTATAAATAACTGGATGAGACCGTAGGGCGCACTTAATTCAATATATGCTTTCGAGTAGTTGCAGGCACAAATATTTGGCCATTGATTTTTAACATGCGTTGTTCGCTTCGCACAAGCTTGCTTTTGGGTCATTCTGACGTCATAAACATATATACTTATTGAACTAGGCCTTGCAATGCAAAGGAATTTGATTTACTCGCACGTACCAGATGAAATTAAATTGAAAACTAGTTTCGCGGGCAGCACACCTTTCAAAATTGGCACTTCTCCGTGGGCCGAACAATTTTTCGTCGTGGACCGCATTTGGCCCGCGGGCCTTAGTTTGCACAACTCTGATGTAAGCTATTTATGCTACTTTTATGCCTTTACAGGGCCTACCTTCATCAAAACTAGTCTTGCTTCAATTAGCGAGCTGGAATTATTTCGACTTGATGGTGTTACTCCGGGAACATACACGTTTGACTTGGATAGAGGAACCTTCAATTTCCTGAATAAATACGGGTATCCTACTGACTATTGTTTTATTTATTCACAGCATAGAGAAGTTGAATATAAATTTAATGAATAGATTATAAAAAAGGACATTTCTTGGATTGCATTGACAAACAAGACGAAAAAATATATATTTGAATAAAAATTTTTTTTTTTAGATTCATATAATTCTAATCGAGCATGATTATGGCTGAAACTATAGGCCATAAATTAGACGCTAGAAAATTACGCAAAACAATTCTGAAGTCAATTAAAACGTAGTGTTTTTTTATGCACCACCATTTGTCTATAGATAGTTTCATAGTTTCTGTGGGTAGTTTGTAGCTTTTTTGCTGCAAAATGATTTTGATTTACTCCCGAGTGAGTGTGTGTGGCCTTGCTTTGGGTGAATTCTTTTAAAATATAAATTTTTCATTTATCAGCTGGGGTTACGCAAGACCTATTACCTTTCCTTGTCTTTTCCTTTGCGTAAGTGGATCCGTTTTCGTGTCACGCAAGAATGCTTTATCAAGAAGGAAAATGACTATTCTGTTTGCCCCAAGAGTCTGACTACACACTAACACAATGTACGAAACGTTACAGGAATAATTTTGTGTTAGTGTACAACAACAGTATTGAATAAAATTTCCTTATTATAATCGCTTTTTTTCTAGAGTACTCATTCGGGCCAAGAGTACACTCGGATTTCATGCTACTTTGAGTCAAAAGAAAGGAGAAAAGTTTGTTGCAAGTCGTCAACTCAAAGCACGTAAGATGCCAGCGAAAATAAATAACAAATGATGAATTTTGTATTATATCCATTTTTAAATGCTGATTTACTCAAACTTTTTTTCAGACAAAGAAACTGTGACGGACTTCTTCGTTTACGGAGATGCAGAGAAAGTCATTTTCCAGCGATGTCAGCTCGTCTCAAGATCAGGAATTGTATTAATTGATCTTCCCGTCGTAAAGAAAAGCCACACAGAATATGGACTTGAAGAACCATTCGATCTTCCCTCTGTACCAATGTTTGTGGTAAGAGTATGATTCTATTTACAGCAATTCAATTAATTTATATAAACAACTGCAATCTAGGCATATTTGCACTTTTCTTTTAATTTGCTTGAAAGGTAGAGAGTTAGAAGTCCATAAAAACAGGAAATATTTATCAGGACAACACCAAATAGATAACAGACGAGGAATGAATTTCAAATGATTAGATACTGACTTTTTCAATTATACATTAAAAAATTTTATTCTTGCTTTTTAATGGTAGAATATTTACGGTTTAGCGGCCTTGTCTACAACTCCCCAAGGTCTGAGCATTTTCGAATACTAGATGACTTCAGTATTAAATCGAATAATTATTTACGAATCGCCGTTTTTTTTAATGAATTCTCTAGAAATATACATCACTGAAATCATAAAATTAATCACTCAGACAGTTCGCTGAGTGTTCACACACATTAAGGAACATGTTTCATCAATAACTGACTAGGAAGAAAAGAATGGTATGCCAGGATTGAATTTCAAAAGTATATTTTTAATGAAAATGGTGTGAGAAATACCTCAACAAAAACAAGATGGCGACGATTTGAAATTGTTGTTTTTATCGATTCGAATAATTTATTGTTTGATTCGATTCAGAATGCCCAGCCCTACAATTCACCGCAGGTGCAAAACAATTAATTATCGTATTTTGCCGTTTGAAAGGTATTCGGTATCTGTCAGTATCAAACGCCTCAACACCTTTTAAAAGTATAGAGGTTGTGCTTTGCTGGATCATTTAAATCAAAATATAAAAACTCTAAGACTTTTTTACTTTTTATATAATTACGTTGGCATCAACGACATACAATCATGTATTCGAGTTTACCAAAGCGGTGCTATAATAGGGATTGGCAACAGGAAATATTGTTTTCATCGTAACGTTTACCATGACAAAATAAAAAGCTGTTCCTTTCACGCTCAATATCCATGTATTTGTGACAATCGTGGCGCAGAAGATTGTTTTCGAACAGTCAAGTAAATATTATAACAAATTCTCGAATCAGGTGTATTCAGAGGTAATGTGTCAGATAATTTGGGAGTGTCGTTAGGCAGAAAACGTATGTTAAAGATAATTGCTATTTAATAGCCACCGTTTCAACATTGGTCATCCAGGACCCGACCAACAGTAATTTGAAATATTTTAAAATAAAATGTGAATACCCAAGGCGTGTGCTTGTCTGTCATTGCCAACCTATTTTTGTTGATATGAATTGAATTGTCCTAATTCCATACTGTTACTCAAAATATCAAGTAAAATGACAGTAGTCGTATTGATGTGCTGTTTCGTTGTTTTTTCAAAAAACTAATTAAAAGATCCAGAATTGTCCTTTAGGCAATTCATGGTGGAGCACTCTGTACATTTGCCTATACTCCATAATAGATGGCTGTTACCGCGGTGACCATGTATTCGAGCACATTTCATATTTCACGATAATTTATTACAGTCTACGAAGAATACAATGAGGTATTAATTTGTGGTCCCGCCCAAAAAATCGTGAGAAATCGTAGGAACTAGAAAATGATTGTGTTTGACACAACTAAGGTGCGTTTTTGATTAAACGAGACTGAATAGAATACAGTGTTAACCTATATTTGCATTTGAGATTAAGGAACTTTAGCATTTGTTTGAAAGTCGTGAGGCGCAACGGTAGCCAGGAAGCTCCATTCTCTCAAAAATATTCTCTTTAGATAATTAGTATTTAACTAAGTTTCAAGCTCTTGGCATATTTAGATTTAGTTTGGGATGAAACAAAATATACCCATCAATAACACTTGTTACATATGGGGGATGTAAACTCTTTATTAATACAATTTTGTTCACTCGCCATGAGACTTGAGACTCGTTAGTACCGCATTACGTGCGACTATAAGTGCTTTGTCTGATTTCAGAATTTTTGCAAAAACGTGTGTATGCAAACACAAACATGAACGAATTTTGCTGTAATTATTTGTCCAGCTATTAGTCAAATTTTTAGTTCAACTATTGTGGCCTCATTTGGGTGCTTCTGGGAAAGCCCTGCGTGTAACCATGGTGTAACTATGCAAACAGTTTTTTCAATAAATGAACCAAATTAGTCAATCAATTTCGAAGGTAGTTTCCAAGATTTTATCAAATTCTATACGTAGAACAGAAATGGTAAGACAATGGGATTTTCCATGCTGAATATACATAATTATTAGTTTGAAGTTTTGCACGTTTATTTTAGATGAAAACAACTACAAATTAGGGTTGTTTACTTCTCACTGCAAAGAGTTCAAATTGTAACATGTGGCAAAATTGGTCAATTTTTGCTATTTGGCATGTTGATAATGTTAAACTGAACTGGTAGATTGAAGTATGTAAACGTAGATCACTAAACCTCCTTATGCCATACAATTCCCTATGTTGTTTCTTACAGCAATATATATATATATATATATTACATAGCGTCTAATTTAGTTTTAATGATAGGGAAATTTTATTAAAATTCAGAATTTTTTGTTTAGAGATTGGTAGGAGTTTATGAAGAAGGACAACAACAATGGCCAATCGAGAGAGTGGATCCATGTGCTATCACACCAACAGTTTCAAATTCATTACTGGGAATTATCCCTGATCAAATTGTTCAGTCTGGGGATACTATCACAGTAAGATTGTTTTTCCAGCTTCTGTTCATGTGTTTTGTAATTTCGAGACGCGAAACCAATCGCACAATCTATAAATCTGAACTTAAATTCAAAAATGTCGATCCAATTCCAGTGAGTGACTGACTATTAATAAAGTGTACCTCAATTTTGGATCGATTTCGTATTACCACCCTTTTTATTCAACATTATACGAGGCCTAGCCTGGGGTAGAGTATTTTAATTTCAATTTATTCCCAACTCCCAAAATCAACGTATTTCAAAAAAGTAATTCATCAATTCAATGAATCCTGGCACAGTAGCAGATATCATGTACAAGTCGTACTCCTGCTTTTCAACATTTTGCCCCGTTTTTATTGTGTACCTGAATAATGATTTTAGTAACAATAAAGAACTAAAGATATTAGTACTAATACAGCAAATACAGAATAAAATTTCTTCAAAAGAATAACAGAATTTATCACTGGAAAGAATTTATCCCCGGTTGGGGAAACGTTCTGCTTTTGGTAAAAAGTGAGAAATGCTATAATTTTGATGGAATTTGCGTTATCGAGATAACTTGTCAGTAATATATAAATCAATATTACTTTTTACTCTTCCAATATGATAATCGGAATAGCATAAATAACTTATAATTGTAATTACTGACATCTCAACAAAAACTTTACTTTTGTCAGGTCACAACAACGTTTCGCAATATGCAAGAAGACGACGATATCATCATTGGTTTGTCAGATAATCAAGATTTTACAACTATTATTGGAAATCCAAAGTGAGTCGATTTTTCTTTTTGATTTTGCTATTCCCAAGTCTTTGTGCAAATTATACCACGTAAATTTTTTACCTGCTAGCAGAATATTTATTCTAGGTACATATATGCAATGGATTTGTTTTAATACTACAAGCAGGTCACCGAGTCTCTGTGTAAATTATACCACGTATATTTTTAACTTGCTAGAAATGGATTTAGTTGAGGTATGTATAGACAATGTTTTAAACTAGCAAACGGGATTTCATTTTGATTATATTTGGACTATCTTTGAGATAACTAAAGAATTTGCGACCAATAAAGATATAAACATTTTTGGCATTTTTTGCGAGTCGTTCGGGGTCGAATAATGGGTGGGTTTTAACGTCAAATGACGCTCTCGGATATTGCGTCATCAGAAAAATCTTAGTGCAAAACCATTTTTCGTATATACATTGTCAAATTTCAAAAGTTGTGGAATAGAACTTTATTACTTCAAATGTATTTTGTGCACGTGTGTGTTCGAATCTCAGAAGTGTGACAAATCATTTAGGATTTATCGATTTATCAATTCTACTGTCCTAACTTTTTCATCCAGCGTGATTTTGCTATCATGACTATCTTATCGGACGCGAAGCGAATCTATGAATCGTTTTGTTATTGTGTTGTTGTTATTGTTCTTCTTCTTGTCACCTTTTCTCATTTACTCCCTTACTTATAAAGATTGTATTTTATGCTAGAATGTTTACTACTTTATTTATTACTTAATTTTCTGTGAGATCTGATATTTCATCCAAAATGCGCTGTTTTAATTGTTAATTATGAATAAACGCCTTTATGATATCGTGATGTATGTTTTCCAGTTTTTATGACATCGTGACCGCTGATTCAATTTGTCTACTGTGACAGATTGCATACCCGTACTATGGGGTTTTTAAACTTCGTGTCCATATATTTGAGCATCTCTTTTTTGTATTTGTTATATATTCACAATCAGTGCTACTCTGTTATCCAATGTCAGCGGTTGTGTGATCCTGTGGTTTTAGTTAGGGTTAGGAACTGAATTTTATGAAATTGTCTTTATGAGAATGAACGAATATCGAAGTGTCACCACTTTGTTATCTTATTGAGATAACTTATGCAGATGTCGCATACCAGAGTGGCACCTCACAATCTATATTTTAATAGATTCTCATCAACTGTGGGGTCTGAGAAAACAATTCAAATCCAAATTCGAGTTTCTGCTGGCACAAAAGAAGGAATTTTGAGTAAAGTTCTTTTAACAGCTACAGGAGTTACGTCTAACTACTACATTTTCACTACATTTGTTGTGAGCGTCATCGACGGAGTAACACGGGTGAGATTCTATGTTTCATTTAGTTTGATTTTAATCGTCCTTCGAGTTTTTTAAACTTTCTTTTTCTGCTGATTTTGTTCACATATCACCTTTCGGAGAGAAAGTTGGTGTTAGCATCACATAAAAAAAATTATTAGCACTTTCTTGAAAAATTTATCAAGTGTTCTGTTCTCTACTTAAAACTGAAACGAAACTTTTTGTTTTATTCAGAGTTCAAAATGTAAAACTATTTACAATGCATATAAATTCTTGTTGAGATTTTTCGGCATTTAATTTATTTGCTTTGTCACGGTTTCAAGAATTGGAATTTGAGCAAATGACTCGATTTCCTTAATCTGATAGTTGAAGAATCCTGTTTCCAATGAACCGTTGAATTTATCTCCAGATTCATTTTTGTTTTGTACAAATTCAGTTTGTATCTTAAATCGAGGTGTAAACGAATCAGTAAATAATGTAGTTTTCCCAGACTTTCTATCTAGAGATATAGAAACCCTATTTAATCGGAATTTTTAACTCTCAAGAATAAATTGAGCGTTAACAGTTGGACCCTCGTATTGTTCGCGTTTGTCGAAATCTTTATGAATAGTAAATGCTTTTTACAATCTGTAAAAAATAAGGGCTGCAATGGATTCAAGTACAATATAGAATTTTTTAATTTTATTTTCGGTGATAAATCTGATTTGTCGCTTCTAGTTCTGTTCTGTTTGAACTAAAGTTTCTTTCTGCTCCAAAATGTTTCCCAGAACTCTTTATATATATATTAATATATAATATAATATTTGTAATATGGATTTCGATGACAGGGTAATAACTGGTGTTGCAATAAAACGTCAGACCTATACCGGAAATTAAGTACAAGTGATAACATATAATTTACCATGTACTGGATTGCGTAACATTCCAAAGAATAATGATCATACCCACGCAGGGTGGGGTTTTGTTCGTACGTGGGCACGTAATGCGTAGGTGGATGAGGAGCCGCGACTACAGTCAATCACTCCTTTCACGTCTGCTGTCAAATATGTTGGTAATATTAAGAGCCTGGGACTATTCATCATGTTGTTATTTTTTTGGGATATTATGCCAATCATGGCAAGCGATAAAGTCTCTTTTTGAAATCGCGCACTTACTAGGTCGATGCTACATAACGGGAATGCTCGAACGATGTAATCCTTTCAAAATGTGCGTGCAAAGACTTTCCTTTCATGGTTTGTTATCATTGGCGCAGTTGTTTGCTTTGCATTGAACTATATCGTATTTTTGGGCGTAGATTTCAACACCCGTTACCACAATTCATTGTCACTCAAAGTCCTGAGAAATGGTAACAGTGCGAAAAACCACACCAGTGTTTATAAAAAAAAAAGCATTTTTCAATATTTTTTTTGCCCATTATGTCCAATAACAGTATGAAGAATAAACTTTAATTCATGACGTCGATCAGCATAGAAATAGCATTCGTAAAAATTGAAATTTTAAGTATACAGACCAACAGTGTATTCAATCTTTTGGTAAACACAACCTAATGTTGGTGGTAAACATTATTTTTGCCAAAATTTGAATATTATTCGTTTCGGTGGGATAAAATGAAATGTAGATTAGTCTTTTGAATTGCCGCAAGCACCGTTCAATGTTTTAATTTTTGCCAAAAACTCCCACATCAATGTATTTATTTCCATATCTGCGGGAGGTAATAACTTGTTTTTTCTAAAATTTATGAATAGGCTTAAATATTTTCTGCCAATTTAGGGCGTTTACTATAATGATACTAAGTAACTGTTGAGTTGTTGATTGGTGTGTCACGCACCTAGCCTGCCTATTTTTTCAAACCCTGCGTGCGGATGTCGATAATTCAGAGCATAAGACGTTCACCATCCAGTTTATACAAGTTCTTCTATTCTTTTTTTGATTTGCACGCACAAAAATATTGTGCTACAGATGTTTTCAAATTCGGATTGTTAGGACAGCTGACATTCTTCTTTTTCAATTGTAATTTGCACTAGCAACGAATATCAATATAAAAATTGTTTATGGTCATCGATGCAGATGTTTGCAACTTTTATTGTTATGTGTGGTATCAGCTCTTTTCCACATATACAGGGTAAGAATTTACTAGAAAAGACTCATTGTTTGTTGCGAGTAATATTTTAGTAATATGTGTTGAACAAAATGGTCATCAACGAAGACAAAAACACGCCTCGAATATAACGAAATGTACGACATTATTATACATATTTAAATATTTTTATATTTTTAATTATATCTGTATGTACCGCGCAATTTCACATATACGATCCTATTATATACGCCGCATTAGTTACAAATCTTCGGGTAAACCGCGGAAAACCGAACCGAAATCCTTGTCTTATCATTGCCTTTGTTGTGGAATTTGGTGGAAAAGTTTGTTTATTTTGTTTGACCAAATAAAAAAAGTGAGCATAAATAAACTAAATAACAAAAAATTATAATAAATTAAGAAAAGAATAGGTTTGTACAAAAATTAGCAAGTTCATGAAAATATGGAATATTTAAATGATGTCAAATTTCAATGAGTCACGTTTGAGTGAAAATTACCAATCAAGCTTTCTAAACGCTTCAATTGAGAAAAATAGCAAGTTGATTTTCTCGTAAAATATTATCACATTTTCGAATTCATTTCTACAGCTAACTTTTATACAATTAGCGTTTATGATTTCATATATTATATACTGTACATAGATGATTGTGGCATGACAGCATTGTATTGAAATGTTTCTGACAACGGGTACTGCCAAATCTGTCTGTAGAAATGAATCTATACGCAGATCCTTTATTCATGAGTGATTTATCAAATTCCGGCCTAGGGCGTAAAAATTACTTTATGCAAATTTGAATAACAAAACATTATAACTGGTTCCAAAAGTTTTGGAAATTCCAAGAAAGCTTTTTCCTTTTTCTATGTTTAGTGTCCCAGTACTCTGCCCGCCGGTATCTAATAAAATATCTGTATACAGCGTCCATGTGTAGATACTTTATTCACCAGTTGTTTTCGACTTAAATCTGATAACGTGAAAACCACTTGGTTAGCTTAATTGGTTAACTATTTCATCAAATTCTATTTATCTTTTCAATATTTAGTGTCCAATTTTAATCAGTCCCGGCGGAGGATCGTTGCAATGTACAAATGGTCGTTCAGTTGGTTCAAGATGCGTCCTTACTTGCGGATCGGAGTACTTACAACACGGAGCCGGATCCGTCGAATGCGGACTGGATGGATCATGGAGTTTAAAATCTATTGGAAGCTGCGAACTTTTACGTAAGTTGAATTAGGAACAATAAAATTTTTGTAATGTATGTATAATATATCTAAATATAGTAATATATAAATATAATGAATGTAACATAGTAATATATAATAAATAAAAATGAACTTTTTCCAAATTATATGGACCGATCAGTTTTAAATGTTAGTGCATAAAGATGATAGAAGTCACTGACATGTTATTGCTCTTTTTCAAATTTTCTCTGAGAGCTATGTGATTCATTATTTAACTCTAAATTTTATTTAATTTAAATACATGGCAAAACTTTTCGATGACTTTTAACCCCCGTGTTTATATATTTCAACATTTTTTTTTCGCTTATTGCAGGTTCTAAAACTTGCCGCCTGTCTGGTGATCCACATTATCGAACATTCGATGGAAGAAGATTTGACTTCATGGGAACGTGTTTGTACACTCTGTTCCAAACTGTGGAGGATGCACAAGGAATCGAGCCAATCACTTGTTCGGTAAGTTTTGTATGGAATTAACCGTAAATTGTAATGATTTATCGATTTGAATGACTATCGACAATTGGGTACTCGCGTAGTATGTGTACCAAGTTAGGGTTAGCTCATAATTTTTTTTTTCCGATTTTTCTTATTTTAGTTTTATTACGAGGTCGGGACTGTCTGTGTTAGCCAAGTGAATATACCGCGACACAAGTTTTTAATTTTGTTTAATCTAGCGCATTCGAGTAATCTCAATTTCTTTGCTTTGCAAAGCATCTACCTGAGCTTGTGCGAAGCGAACAACGCGTGTTATAAGATCAATATTCAAGGCTTTTGTGATTGCAACAACTGGAAAGCCTATGTTAAATAAAATTTCGCCTTGTTTTTTGTATCTGGCCCTCCTGTTTTTAAGGTTGCACACCCTTGCTTTAAGTAATTAGAACCATCAGCAAAACGCAACAAAGACGCATGACTTTATGAATTCTGGTATAACACTCCTAGTATTCGTAGGGGCCTACAATCTATATGGAAACTCGTGATGAATTTTATTATCATAAAAAAGCTGTAGGTTCAGAATATTTTTTGTGATATCATATCATTCATCTATTCGTTTATTTATCAGACGGAGAACACTGAACAACATGTCAGAAGAAAGGTATCCTGGTTGAAGCAATTTTTCGTGACCGTGTATAACATCACAGTTCATTTTAAATACGGAAAAGTTGTATTGGTGAGTTTTATAATAGTTAACAAGGATACTATGAGGAAAGCAAAACAAGAGAGTAATGCTCAAAAAGGGCACGAAAGATCAATGACTACGTGATACATCAATTATCTACGCTACCTACATAGAAATTTTTATCTGAATTCTCGAATGATTTGAATCAAAATTACAAATAAAGGCCCCACGCCAGAAGATTTCACGGTAAGGCTGTTAAAGTGTCAGCTGAGCGTCGACGGGGCTTGGCGAGAAGATAGCGAACTAGCCTGACGTCATGCCACGAAGGTCAAAAGTCAAGACAGTGTTCTCATGAATTGAAACAAAACATTTTGAGTGAAATATCGGCCTCCGTAACTGACTTCAGTCTATCGATTCCTTTCATATTCAAATGCCAAAAATTTGAAAAACGGGGATTTTTTATAGACGGCTCCACATCGACAACAGTCTAGCAAAACGGTGCATATATTCATTTTTTGTCCGATAATAAATATCTGGAAGCATTAAGAAAATGTAGATACTAACCAATGTGAATTGGCGAACTTGGGAAACAATCAGTCTACTTCTGGTCTTCTCCCAAGCTGCAAAAGTCAACAGCTTTTTGTAGCTATGCCGATAAATAACTAGAATATGATTTCTCGTTCGTTCCAAGTATTTTTATTGGTAACAGAGTCCAGCAACATGCATTTATTATTTAGATTGATGGCATTCGAATCAATTTACCTGCTTTATTGCTCGGAGGAAATGTTCAGATAAAACGGGATGGTGGAGATGTTATTTTGACTACTGATTTTAAAATGACGGTACGTTACGATGGAAAACACAATTTGAGGGTGAAGTTGCCAGCGAGCTATCGAGGGAAAGTTACAGGTATGCTGCATTCGTTAATAATGGGACCGTCTGCTATTTATTTAGGGGTTCTAACCTTTTTTTGTTGTGGAGTTCGTGAAGGGGTTGACCCTTGCTCATGGAACTCCACAATAAATTGAAAAAAAAATTATTTATTTGAATCATAGATAAAGTCCTTATTGAATTTTTGACAGTTACAAAATTGGCAAGTCATAATGTTAATAAGTAAACGAATAGCTCGCGGAGCCCCTAAGTTTCTCTCACGGGGCCCCGGGGCTCTGTATGAAGCACTTTGAGAACCTATGTGCTAAGCAATGTGTGCAACAACTCATGGTCCTTTTAAAAAATGCTATCAGGGCCGATATATTCGCTATCAATCGGATACAAACAAACCAAGATTTGTCAAAAATATCATACAATTCAAGAAAAGTAAAATACACGACAACTACATCGCGGTTATATTGTATCGTGGTGATGTACGTAGTTGAAACCCTTTCTAGAACTATTGACTGAATATTACAATACAAACTTAGATATTGACATAGACATTGTCCCTTCTTGTCGTCGTAATAGGAAAATAAAACTTTTAGACTCGATGGCGTCATAATACACGGGAAAACAAATTCAGTGTCGCACATGGGCCGTCATTGAACATTGATCGAGTTTTTAGAGTTTGCGAACATCAACAATTTGACCGAAGTATCCGTTATTTACGTGATTTGTCACGTTCCTATCAATATAGATATTTTTACAACGCCCATTTATCTTATTGAGTGTCACTAACCTGAACTTATGTCCATCGTTACTAAAGGTTTTTATTGACTTCAATGGTATTCTATGGTTTCTTCTTATTACAAATTCATTGCGGAAGCCGCCAATTTTCGGTCGAACAAAGAGAAGTATTTGATTGGTTTTTTAATCTAACATTAATGAAATCAATTTTTGAAATTAATGGGTCTTACTTGTTATGTACATGTCGGTATATGATTGTTATACGTTGCACATATTTTCTCTGTATTTGTAAGAGGCAACTAACTACTTTGTTTGTGGCTGAAGTGTTGAACGTAATTATTTTGGCATTGTATCGTTACAATCCCGGGTTCGAATCCAATGCCCACCACTTTGCTCAAGGTGTAATAAATTGGCAACTCGAAACATACAAGATTATGGTCATTTTAAAATATCGAATAAGAATATTTTGAAATATTCTTATATTTCAGTGGTCGCTTATACAGAATGAAAAATCGCGATTTACACTTTGTTCGTTCTGTGACCCAGCATATTTAGGAAAAAACGCTTTCAACACTCGGTGGCGACACACAATTTTGTTCTATATTATATACAGCTTTAGAACTTTTGTTTTCTTTAACGAAACCAGGGGCCGCGCCAAAAAAAATTATCACTGCTTTATATATCGTCTTATTCATTTTTTTTGTAAATGTTTTATCCCTCAAAATAATCAAAATATTGTTTAAAAAAACAATTGGACAAATGGATTGTAAATGTTTAATTCCTCAAAATATTGGTTAACAAAACAATTAATATTATCTGAAATAATATTACAGGACTTTGCGGAAACTATGATGACGACGTAACAAATGATTTCATGTTCGGAAACAATACCTTCACTGATGCTGCTTTGTTTGGAAATGCCCATGAAATAGTAGGATCGCTAAAACCAGGGTATGAATTTTCTTTTTAGATTAAATGAATCATACTGCTCTAACGATTAAGGTAATCCAGTTGGAAAATCAACTCCGACTACCGACTTCGGATTAAAATAAAATTACTTCGACTCCAGCTCTCCATTTCAGGTCGATGGAAACAGGACCTTTAGGTTTAGACTGTTGATGGGCTCAAGATGCTTCCACTCACTTCTTTTCGTTTTTTTTTTCATTCGCCTTTGCTGCTGCCCTGTTTTTTTCCACATTCCCGTCCTGTCTTCGACTCTTGTTTCGAACTCCGAGGAACTCACAGATTTTAAATTTGTCTGCGTGAGCCTTCGTCAATAGGTTTTTATGAACCGTCAGACAACGGACAACTTAATCTCTTCGATGTTTCTGATTAATATTTGCTTATGGGAGTCTTATTCAATGAGCTGTTATGAACCGTCAGACAACTTATTCTCTTTAGGAAACGTTAGACAACTTAATCTTTTTAATTAATGTTTCTGATTACCGGTAATTTAAAATTTCGGATCCGATTCCTGGCTCAAAAAAAGTGTAAATATACGCCCCTTTAGGACTTAGACTGCATTGAAAGCAAGCGAAAATCCGATTCCTCATTCTTATAAAGAGAAAACTAATTATCAAAACGATTTAAAATTTATAACTCAAGTATCCGTGTTACAAGCTCCATTTATGAAATTCCTCTAAGCTTTGTTAAATCGTTTCTAAAACCGAAATAATAATTTTTTTCCGTTAGATACGCGACAGATTTAAAATGTAACGAAATGTCTTGTAACCTGGAGATTAATTAAAGCATAAATAAAAATATTTCCCTGTCTTTCAGATGTCGACAAGGCGAGGTCGGAGATGATGTTGATGGCTGTACTGAACCAGCACAGAGAGCAATATACGCTGAAAAATGTGCGGCAATAAAAACAGACTGTTTTATGGATTGTGCTAGCGAAGAACGTATTCAGGAACTTTTCGATGTACGTATTCTATACTAAGAATAGAAAATGTCCAAGGTTTTGTCCCATATAAGTTCACAGCATTAATCATTGACGGCCGACGGACTTATATTAGAGCAAATATGGCTTTCTTTTTGATTAAACTAAAAATTAATTGGATATATAGCCTATCATCAAAGTATTATTGTTATGACAGGAATGTGTCTACGATATGTGTGCGACCGGTGGAAACTCTAAGACTGTCGAAGACGCATTGACCACTTTTGCAGATTTTTGTGCAGATTTGAACATTCAAATATGCGATTGGAGAGACAGGTTCAATTATCGTAAGTCGTATTCATTGGACACGAAATGGCCCTATGGATAGTTGTTGTTGTTGTTTTTTACTTGTTGTTGTTGTGGTCTTTTTCTTTAACTACTGGAACAAAAGTTTTTAATTGGTTAAACATTATTGTTGTGGCCAAAAGGCTATTTATTTGTTTTTATTCATGGGAACATCTTACGACAAGGCTTTCCTTCGTTTTGACTTTGCGAAGCCGGCGGCCAGCCAATTCAGCAATATCTATTGGCGTTATAAGTTCCTAAGCACTGTACTAAGATACTTCTAAGATGTACTAATATGCACATGCTCGACAAGTTTACAAATGAAGAAAAACTGAATTTATCAACATCGTATTGAAAAACCTATACAATATTATAAAAACAAGAATGAAGAATATTTTATTTTTGTGTAAAAATTGGCATCATAACTTTTTCAGCGAAAATTTGCGAGAAAAACTCTCAATACAAATCACATGCAAACAGATGTCCGAATACATGCGTTGATCCAAATGCAGAATCAAGATGCGTTAGAAAACCGAAAACAGAAGGTTTGGAATTTATCTACCTTTCGTATAAGTTATTTATATTTATCCTGTAATATTCTGTTTTTTTTTAAACTTATCTAACTAAATCATCTTACCGTAAATTTTTTATCCAGCCTGTGTATGTAACAAAGGATTTGTGAGGGATGGAAACGACTGTGTTCGACTTTCCCAATGTGGTTGCTCAGCAAATGGACGATACTACAAGGTAAATCAGTGATTTCCAACCTTTTTCGATAAATTCCAATCTTTGCCTATTTCGAATTTCTTCATTTCTCATCTACTACGTATAAAAACTCCAATATTTGGTTTAATTTTAATCTTTAATGGATCCATAACTACTGATACCCATATCTCGTACTTTGGATTTTGCGCAGTTTAAATATTTCATCATAAATGCATAAATACGTGGTACAATAATATTGAATAACTGAATTGAACTACAAAAAAATACAAAGTTATATATCCTCCATGAGAACATCAAAATTCCTTCCTCGTGGAGCCATTCTTTCCCGGTCCTCCCCGGAAAATATTGAGGTAGTTTTCATTTCAATTTCACTGCTGCTTTTTCATTCTCTAGCAACGTATTGAAAATAGATTTTTTTTGCTAAACATTCTTATTCATATTTCCTTGTGCTCTGTAGAAAGGAGAAAATTTCTTAACATCTAACTGTCTTCAACGTTGCGAATGTACTAATGGAAAACTGACATGTAAAGCGACATCTTGTGAGGAAGATAGAGAATGCAGGGTTCTGCCTTCCGGAAAATATGGATGCCAACTGAAACGTAAAATATAGTTGATATAAATTTGTATTTGCGGTTATAATGTATTTTTTGCTGGATTAATTACTTAGAAATCTGCTTAATACGTTGCCTATTCGTGCCCAATATGAATGTGGCAGCATGAAGACAGTTCAAATCATGGATGAATACGGTACCGGGTCAATGCAGGTTTGCGATGGCCTAGCGGTTTAAGCTTTATACCTAACGGTGTCGGCATTGCATTCCCCCCAGCTCGCCCAAGGTATAATAAATTCGATAGTCAGTACAGAACAGAAAGATTCCGGGACTTATGTCTTCTTTGTTCGGAGCGAATGACGAAGATTCAAAGCGAAAGTGAATAGCAGTGTAATAAATGTTTATTCATGACTAACGTCCTTCTAGCATAAGGATTAGTTCAAGGGACAAGTATAAATCGCGCTATGGAAGTATCAGAAATGATATATTGTTAACATATCTCACCTTGACCCATCGATACGACTTTGCTGAAATCGACTTACCACTTGCGAAGCAACTAAAAATAATATGTAATTTTTTCAGAGGTCGACGTATGTTATGCCACTGGTGATCCTCATTACCAAACGCTAGATGGCAGCAAATTCGATTTTATGGGGGTATGCTCCTATATCATGGTCTCAACAGATGGCATGGGCATCACTGATCCCAACAGAGGAATTGTCATCGTGGCACAAAACGAAAATCGCAATGGTAATACACGTGTATCATACATCAAACTCGTGACCATCAAAATTTTGGATTTCGAAATACAACTCGGACCAGGAAAAACTCTCACGGTACGTATTCCTATTTTTACAGCGATTTGAAAAATGTGCATATTTTGTATTTCAGTTTCCTTTTTGTTTCCTACCTCTTCGTTCAATACAGATAAAACGAAACGGAACACGGATCGAGCTACCAGCAACACAAAAGTTTACAAATGATAATGAATTGTTCGAGACTAAAATATTGGGGAGAAAAGCAAGATTTTCAACTAAATTTGGTGTTGAAGTCAAGTTTGACGGAACAAATTTGTACATCAATGTACCGAGTTACTATATGCACAAGGTATCTTCTATTTGATTACTATAACATGCTGTAATATTCTATGTAATATAACATATGCCTTTGAAAAAATTCGTGGAAGTTATTCTTTGAAAAATAAATAGCTGTTAGACAAATGTTCTGTATTTTTAGCGATCACCCGTATTTTGAAGAATATATTGCAAAATATCATCCTGTTATTCCTAACTATGATATAATACCAGGATACTCTAATCAGGGATGGCCAATACCGAATAGTTCACTATTTCGAATACATTCGAAATTATTATTTTCAAATATGAAATTTCGAATACTTCGAAATTAAAATCCAGTAATAGAATCTAAGTGTATGAAGGAATTTTCATACAATAAACAATGGGAAAACTTCTATTTACAACCTGGCTATATTACCAGGCATTTCATGTTTGCAGATTATTGCGATCCATATTTTATATAACATGAGTTGTGTTAATTAACAGAATTAAAATAATACGACAAGGCATTTTAAATAGTGGTATCGGTGATGGATTTGAATGCTTGCGCAACACAAAATCATCCTAGTAAAACGCCCATACTTTTAAATACCAACCATTATCCAAATTATTTGTCAAAAAGCGGGATAAAGTACGAGTTCTTTTTCAGACTTGTGACAATTTTTTCGTGAGTACAAAAATACGAATCAAAAAGTAATTATATTCGGGAACTTTACCACACATGTTAGTCCGCAGATCGCCGTTGTATGTTTGTGTAATAATACTTTTATTATTTTATAAATACGAAAACTATTTATAATCGGGTAGTTTACCACACATTCAATGTCCACAGATCACCGTTGTATTTTGTAAATACGAAAATAGGAATCAAAAATTAATATCAATCGCGAGTTTGCTTCACAATTTATGTCCACAGAATGCCGTGATATTGTGCCCGAATATAATTAATTTTTGATTCCTATTTTCGTACTCACGAAAAAATTGTCACAAGTCGGAAAAATAATTTATACTTTATTACACATTCAAGTCCACAAATCGCCGTTGTATTTTTGAGTTATAATAGTTTCAATATTTTGTAAATACGAATCCGAAATTAATTATAATTGGGCAGTTTACCACACATTTCATGCCCACAAATACCCGTGGTATTTGGTATTAATACTTTCATTATCGATACTTTCGACCATCATTATCAAAATTATTTGCAAGAAAGCGGGTGAAAGTATTTTTCTAATAAATCAACTTGTTTCCCAACTTGTGACAATTTATTGGATATCGTAACAATTACGGCTATAAATACCGTATTTCCCGGCTAATAAGTCTACATGGCAAATAGGACGATGTATATTTTTAGCACTCAAAAAAGGGGGTTTTCCATATAGGCCTCCAAGAAGACGGGCAGAAAAATTGTTCCCTGTTGTTCAGTTATGCTAATATGCGCTAATAATAATGTTTGTTTAGTAGAATCATACTCACAGAATTAACTATTTTTAACAATAAAGCGGTAATTTTAAGTTAAAAATCACAATCATTTTGAACAATCTATAACAGTGGTTCTTAAAGTATGGGTCGCGACCCAAACATGGGTCGCGGAAGGTTTAAAAATGGGTCGCGACAAGGTCGTCAATGCAAGGGCAATCTAAGAGGAGAAGGACGAATTTTCAGTTTTCCCAATGTTCCAATTTAGCTTCTAAACTCTGGTATTTAAAAATAATGAAATATAAAATTTCATTCACAGAAAGAACTGTCTTGAGCTCATTGTTACATCACAATTCTGATATGCCAGTCACGTGTATTATTTTTATGGTATCGGTAACCATGCACGTCGCTTGTCGTTGTGTTGACAGCATGGAATGTCGTCTTATTGGATTAAAATAACCAAAAATGGGTGTCTTTTTGGTAATGAAAATTGTAATAGACGACGCATTAAAAAAGCTCGCTTCTCGACATTGGATTATTCAATATCTAGAGAAAATGTGACTTCATCTCGAGGCAGCATTTACCGCGAACAAAGCAGTGCGTGCACATTTGATGAGTAAAAAGTTGTATGTTGCGAGAGATACCGAAGGCCAGCTAGGATGTCGTGTTTGCGACGGACAGCGGACGCCTTTTCTGCTACAATTCGCGACAAGGCACTTGTGCGAGCGAGGATATTTGGCACTGACGGTTATCAAAACTAAACTCGCAATCGCTTCGATACCCGTGACAACTTGCGTATTGCGTTAAGTAAAATAGAGCTGTGTATTGAAGATATAATGAAAAAGGAAATTTCAGTTTTATCAATCTCACTGAGTCAATGGACTGTTTCTAATAAATAGTTGTCTGTATTTGAGTCAAACTATACTAACATTAAAAACACATTTTGCGTTATTTAGGATTGGGTCGCGAGTATTCATAAAACTCAGATTTGGGTCGCGCTCGAAAAAGTTTAAGAACCACTGATCTATAAGTTTATAGGGTCAGAAAAGAACCAGATCATGTTTGTTTGGTAGAACCATACTCACGGAAATAACTATTCTCAACAACGAAGCGGTAAATTTAAATTATAAAGTGGCAATCATTTTGGACAACCTATCAATCCGAATGTTGAAATAATTTCGGAATGTGATAAGTTCCACAAGGTACTTCCACGGGTTATTTCACAGCTGTGTTTCATGTCCCTGTCATTTTCTGCTGAATCGGCAAAACCAAAGGGTCATAAATCACTTACTTTATCTCGGTGGCGGTGGCGTGTTTTCTCTTTTAAGTAACGATAACCGGGCTACGATTAAATATCATGATTGGCAGACCCATAAGAACCAAATATAAGATTTACACAAATTATGCTATGCTTGAGAAGACTAATGCGAAAAATAAGCAGGCCACATAGAAATAAAATAAACATGCTTTCTCAATAAGGCGCCCCACCCCCAAAAAAACCAAGCCAAAATTGGGTCTAGAAAAGCAAAAGCGACTTATTAGCCGGGAAATACGGTGATTGTCGATTTTTCGACTAATGCAAATGATTTTGTGAATTAAAAGACGAATGTCGGCAATGTCCACCAACGCAAACGTGCAAATGTGTCGCAACACTATGCGACGTACATTCGCGCTGAATATAAACAATCAAAATGCCGACTCTATTTCATCGTCATTACAATACGCGAGAAAGCGTAAAAAGTCGTTTGAAGATTCCGGTAAAACGAAACACCGTGTTTACGGCGAAAAGTGACTACTATTCGTAATTATTCGGAAATGAGCCGGAAAGGTATTCGAATACTTTGATATTCGAATAATTTCGAATATTCGATTCGTTTTGGACAACCCTGACTCTAATACCAGGATAGTTATGTTAATTTTCTTCTCTCTGTATGTTTAAATCTTGTTACAGGTTGGCGGATTGTGCGGAAATTATACCGGGGTCAAAGATGACGATTTTGGCGGAAGAACCCTCATGAATTTCACAAAGAATTATTTGTATTCTGACGGATGCGGTGAAGATCCCGACAGAGAAGAATTAGTTTGTACCGATGCTGATAAAGCTAAATGGTAAGGCGACTTACAGAAAACATAGTTATTGGACATGGACCTATAAATCGTTTTGTTATTATTATTATTATGTTGTTGTAGTTGGTAATATATTACAATAATTACATCATCATGTTGTTGTGAAAAACCGCCTTTCTCTTTAATACTGGACCAATTGCTTTGAAATGGTTTAATGGTGAAAGATTATTTGGTCGTCAGAAGGTTATTACTTTTATTTATTCCTAATTCTTCTATGAATTTTATGAGATGTGATATTTTTATCAAAATTTTGCTGTTTTATTTTTAGTTGTGAGACACGGGTTTTAATCCTAGAGACGGCCTTTGTCAGGGCTGTTCTCCGTTTTATAATTAAACTGAAAAAAATTTATTTTTAGTTCAATAAAAAATTTTCCTCCTAATATGCTAAATTAATTTTATAAATAAAAAGTAATCAAATTTTATAATATACTTTTGTGTAACAGGGGAGGAGCAGAATTTTGTGGAAAGTTGAAGAATCCCGATAGTCCTCTAAAATACTGCTATGATATTGTTGACGTTCAACCATACTTTGACGATTGTGTATTTGACGCCTGTGCATATGAAGGGGATGTAGATGTAATACAAAATGTAAGCAGTATCTATCAGCTAATTTTTAAAATAAAGCTTCATTAGTATAGAAAGCATGGTATTTTAGAATGAAAAGTGATAGTAAATTCTAATACAAATGTCTTGTATACTGTGAATGTTTTGGTCTGATTACTTTACCAGACACTTGTGATCATTGTGCCATTACTTGTTGTTATTGAGTAATTATTACTTGTTTACATGTGTGCGTGTGAGGGTGTTACTTTGGTGATGGTTCATTCTAGTTTATGACAGGCCTGGATAAGGACCTCCTGTATATGTGTATCTGCCTTGAGGGCAAATAAACTTTACATGGTAGCAGAGGATGGTTACTGCTCTTTGAGATGGCTTCATCAGTAACAAGACAAAACCCTCCTAAATTTAAGGATGATATACCTTATAGTGCATGGAGGAATAAAGTTGAAATGTGGCAAATGGTCACACCTATTGATAAGAAAGAGCAAGCTATTGTAGTTGTCCTAAGTTCTCTTGAAGGAAATCAAAGAGCTGAAAAGGCTGCATCCGAGTTAACAGCTGGTCAACTTCATAGCAATGATGGTATGACAACCTTGTTAGAGAGCTTGGACAGGGTTTTCAAATCTGATAAAGTAGATGATGCTTACAATGCTTACACTGCTTTCAACTCATTCAATAAATCTTTCAATATGGATATGAAAGATTACATTATAGAATTTGAACACCTGTATCATAAAATATCCGAATTTGATATGAAACTACCTGATGCTATATTAACATTCAAAATATTGGATGGTGCAAATCTATCTCAATCAGAAAGACAATTAGCTTTAACTGTGGCTAGTGACCTGAAATTTGAAGGAATGAAATCAGCGTTAAAGCGGGTTTTCACGAAAACATCAGATGGTGGTGTTACGGATGACAGTGTACCTGCTTCCATTAAAGAAGAAGCCTTTGTTTCAAAATTGACTCATTATCGTCAAAGAAAATCTATTCAAAGGCAACAAGGTAGAAAAAATACAATGAATCCCTTAAATAAATTTGGGCAGGTTTCAAGGTGTGCCATTTGTGATTCAAAGATGCATTGGGCTAATAAATGCCCACATAACAGAAACAAAGTAAATATGGCAGAAGTTGAAATTGGAAGTTTCAGTGACAAAGAAACAGAAGATGAAGTTGTTAATTTTGTTTTCATGATAAAAAGCTCTGATTGTGAAGCTTTGATTTGTGAAACAGTTGGATCAGCAATAATTGACACAGCTTGTACTAACACTGTATGTGGACAGAAGTGGTTGAATAACTACATTGCCAGATTACCTGAAAATTTGAGAAAGACCGTCGAGTTTTTACAAGGAGGTACAGGATTCAAATTTGGTGATGGAAGAAGAGTCATGTCGACTCAAAGTGTAATAATTCCTGCTAGAGTTGCTGGAAAAAATTGTCAAATTCGAACAGAGGTTGTCGAGGACAATATACCCTTGCTACTAAGTAAGTCATCACTCAAACGAGCGGGAACTGTTCTTGACATGGAAAATGATGTGGTGACAATGTTTGGTATTCCAGTCGATCTTCAATTTACTGAAAGTGGACATTATTGCATAGCAATAACACCACAGAAGATGTGCAAGACTTATGATGAAAGTGTACTTGTACTTAAAGATATGACAATTAATGATCAGAAAGTTGCTATCAAAAAGCTTCATAAACAATTCGGCCATGCGTCTGAAGAAAACATGAAGAGATTGCTTGGAAATGCAAATATTACGAATAATAAATTATCTGATATTGTACAAGACGTAGTGAAAAAATGTGAAACTTGTTCTGTGCTTAAGAAATCTCCACCACGACCTGCTGTAGGTTTACCAAGGGCATCAAGATTTAATGAGTCTGTAGCAATTGATTTGCATCAATTAGAATCTAGCCTTTGGTACATGCACATGGTGGATGAATTCACCAGATTCAGCAATGCTGTTATTGTGAGGTCTAAATCTTCATCCATAATTGCAAACAAGTTTTTACTTCATTGGATAAGTATTTTTGGATCTCCACAAAAGGTGTTTACTGATAATGGAAGAGAATTCAATAATCATGAGTTTTTGGACATGTGTGATAATTTTAATATTATTGTTAATACTTCACCAGCATACTCTCCTTGGAGTAACGGAGTTTGTGAACGACATAACCAAGTATTGACAAATATGCTTCACAAGATTAGAAATGATGTGCGTACTGATTGGGGAGTCTCCATTGCATGGGCCGTAAGTGCAAAAAATTCCTTGATGAATAATAAAGGATTCAGTCCAGCTCAACTTGTTTTCGGTCAGAATGTCAATCTTCCCTCAGTTTTAGTGAATGAACTACCTGCATTGGAGGGAAAGACTGAAAGCTTGGAAGTTGGTCAACATATATCAGCTCTCCATGCTGCAAGACGAGCATTTATTGCCTGTGAATCTTCTGAGAGAATTCAGAGAGCGCTGCGAAAACAAACCAGACAATCTTCTTTTAATTTCACAACGGGAGATCGAGTTTATTACAAAAGACCAGATAGTCATAAATGGCGTGGACCAGGAAAAGTGATTGGACAAGACGGCGTGATGGTTTTTGTTAGACATGGTGGTCAAGTGATCAGAGTCCACACATGTAGATTGCATTTAATTAATTCAAGTGATGGTGAAAATTCTCCCATGCAATTGAAGCCGGAAGATGCTGAATATTCTAACAGTGATGTCAAAACTGAGGAGAATATATCTGATATTGAGGAGTTTGAAACTGAACCTGAAGCTATGAACGATGATTCTCCTGACCATAGAACTGATTTAACTGATTCGGAACAACAAATTCGCTCAAACGAGAATAGCCAATCACATGGCAAAAGTGAATCTAGAAGTTTAAAGAAATCACAAATTGTCAAATATAAACAGAATGATGGAACTGTCTACAGCGCTAAAATTTTAGGAAGAGCAGGAAAAGCGACTGGCCGATTTAAAAATTGGTATAACGTGCAGTATGAATCACCACAATCTTTGAAAGGCCAGCAAAAATCTATAGACTTTGATGCTGTCGATATTCTTAATGAAAACGATCCCATTCCAGAATCTGAACAAACAAAAACAGCTACTCTATCTGCTCAAACGGTTGATTGTGACGTTTTTGTTGCAGATTCGGTGGATTTTTCTCTAGCGAAAAATAGAGAACTCCAAAGCTGGATACAAAATGGCGTATATGAAGAATGTCCATATAATAATCAGAAATGTATTTCTGTAAGATGGGTTTGCACAATGAAACAAAATGGTGATAAAATGTTCCCAAAAGCTAGACTTGTTGCTCGTGGTTTTGAAGAGAGTAATTTAGAAAATATTGAAAAAGAATCACCAACATGTTGTAAAGACTCAATGCGAACTGTCATAGCTATTGTGCAACAAAAACGATGGCAATTAAAGTGTATTGACATTAAAACTGCATTTCTACAAGGGGAGGAGCTCAAGCGAAATGTGTATCTTATGCCACCTAAAGAAGCAAATTGTAAAGAGGGAATTATATGGAAATTAAGAAAATGTGTATATGGACTGACTGATGCTTCACTGAAATGGTACGACAGAGTTCGAAATTTTATGTTGGAAAATGGATGCAAGACTACTCTTGCAGATCCTGCCGTTTTTTATTGGCATAATGGCATTGAGTTGGAAGGAATTTTCACTGTACACGTTGATGACTTTATGTGGTCTGGCAGTCAAACATTTGAAAAGAAGATTATCACGAAATTACGAGAAACATTTCAAGTGGGAAATGAAGAAACATCGTGTTTCAAGTATGTGGGTCTTCAAATCAACGAACATAAAGATAGAGTCTCATTAAATCAAAATGAATACATTTCATCTTTGAATCCTATTCATTTGTCTCACCAGCGTAAGACTGATCTTGACGCAAGACTAACTCATCCTGAAAGTGAAGCCCTTCAGTCCAAAATAGGTCAACTGTTGTGGATCAGTACTCAATCACGGCCTGATATCTCATTCGATACTTGTGTATTGGCCACAAATTTCAAATCTGCAACTGTGAAAGATCTCCTCAGAGTTAACAAAGTGATTAGGAAACTAAAATCAAATTCAGTGGATTTGAACTTCTGTAATTTGGGCTCTGACAAGGATCTGAAACTTGTCTGTTTCGTCGATGCATCCTTTGGTAATTTGACTGATGGTGGTAGCCAAGCTGCAAGCCTCATATTTCTTGTAGGAGAACATCAAAGATGCAATCTCATCAGCTGGCAAAGCAAACGGATAAAAAGAGTTGTTAAAAGTTCTTTGGCTGCGGAAACACTTGCTATGTCGGCTGGCGTAGATATGGCAAGCTTTGTTAGCTCATTGTATACAGAAATCATGCATGGAGCTATCAATCTTGAAAAACTGCCCATCGAAATTGTAACTGATAATCGCTCTCTTCACGATGCTATAAAGTCTATCAAACAAGTACAAGATAGACGACTGAGAATAGAAGTAGCAATGTTGAAAGAGATGATGTCCAACAAAGAGATTACCAGAATCCGATGGTGTAACAGCGAACAACAGCTTGCAGATAACTTGACTAAAAAAGGTTCATCATCGTCAAGTTTGCTGGACATTATACAATGCAATGAACTTAAAAACTTTTAAATATTCATTTTATTAAATAATGGGGAATTTGTGAATGTTTTGGTCTGATTACTTTACCAGACACTTGTGATCATTGTGCCATTACTTGTTGTTATTGAGTAATTATTACTTGTTTACATGTGTGCGTGTGAGGGTGTTACTTTGGTGATGGTTCATTCTAGTTTATGACAGGCCTGGATAAGGACCTCCTGTATATGTGTATCTGCCTTGAGGGCAAATAAACTTTACATATACATTCCTTAATTTTAAAGGGGTGTGTCAATTATACAGAATAATGATCTTTCATACCGGTCCGTATATAGACAATTGGGAAACAATCAACGGGGTTAAGCGATACCAACTACCTTATTATCATATGTATGCTTTTGCATAAGTGGATCTGTGTGCGTGTAATACACGGATGCTGTAGCAAGAATGAAGATTACTGTGTTAGTAAACAACAAGACTCTTGAATAAAATAAAGTAATAATTGTTACAACAAATATTTTAACAGGCAATCTCTGTGTACAAACAAGCTTGCGAAGACAAGAACGTTGATCTGTCTTGCAGATGGGAAGAAGAGATAGGATTTACATTACCAGCCTGCCCAGATAACAGTAGATACGATGCATGTGCATCTGTTTGTGTGAATACTTGTCAAGATCCAGAAGCTTCGACAGGGTATATTTATAAACTTATATATAGGACTGAGCTTTTCAAAACGAATATTCGAATAGTAAATTATTCGAAACTGTTTAGATGGAGTTTTTCGATTTTTGAATTTTCACTTTTTTGTATTCCAAGGGGTAGGTGAATTCCTCATAATTTTGAACTGTAATTCTGACTTACCGCTTTTTTTCTTGGCAAGTTAATAATGAAGCATGTTCCTTCTTTTGTGCGAACACTCAGAGATCTGTATGAGTAATGGATTCTATGATTTCAGTAATTTATGTGTCTGGATGACCCATTACAATAAAAAGTCGCACCTTTGATTTACTTCTGAAATCGTCAAACATTCGAAAATTCTCAGCTTTACATATATATACACGTTCAATATTGTTCTTCGTACTTCGACTCTATATAAATAGTTTAAACTTTATTTCAAATGTCCCTATTCAAGGTGTTTATCGGTAGAAACAGTTGCACGGTGCGTGTGTGAACTGGGATATGTTTTAAACAACGGTGAATGCGTCGAAGACTCTGTTTGTGGATGTACCTTCGAAGTTGATGGCTACGTCGAGCAAGGTGCATTTTATATGGCACCAGGATGTGCGTACTCTGATAGGTGTGTTGGTGCTGGGTCTGCTATACGAGAGGAAGATCCATGTGGCAAGGAAGCAACCTGCAAGCTGTCGAATTCTGGAGAATATCAATGCATTCCCGATGTAAGATTTATTATTGGTGTAAATAACCATTCAATAAATAAAAATAACAGTATGCAATATCAAATATATGGACGATGAAATGATTAACCCCGGTCCAGCAGAACCGGTAGCATATTATGCGACCCACACAGAAATAAATATCTTGTACGGCTATTCAAATGCTTTGAATCAAATCTAAAACCGTGGCTATACGCGGTATTAATAAGACCTTAGTTGAGCAGCTGATGTGTTTATAAGGTGGCCCCGTGTTTGTGCATTATATACACAAAATAGCGAAATTGTGGTTAAATATCGAGCCCATAGTATCCAGAGAAAAAAATTATCAAATAACTTGTAGCCTTCTTGCCTCTATATTTACATACTGAAAATTTGGAATCGACTGAACTAATCGAATAAAAGCAATTTTCTCGTAACAACAATCCTAACCACCTCAACAAGAACAAAAACAATTTTGCAAACGGTTCATAGGTACACTCTGTTTCCAATATCGACATTGAATATGAGTTTAGGTTCTAGTTCAATCATACCTAATTTAATACTTTGTGCTCAAAACATGCGCTAATGCATTGACATTTACTAAAACTCCAATAAATAGTTCTGCGTATACTTGACTTAACGTGAATAAGAACATCTTTTCAACTGAAATAAACTGAATTAATTTTAATACTTAATTTAATTTAATTAATTGAAAATTTCTTGATTCAGGAATTTGCATATGCTCTTGTTTACGGAAAAATACACTTCAAGACATTTGACAACAAGTTCTTCGATTTCCAAGGCGACTGTGGATATTTATTGGCAGGGTAATATCAGTAGTCATTGTGTACATACCTATTTCTTTGGCCAACTTTCTAATCTAACTTAAGTGATTCAAGAGTCTTGCTGCACCAAGGTAAAACAAACGTTACAGAAATATATTTGTGTTTGTGTCTAGCAAAACTCTTGAATTACTTAAGATAGCTATCTTTAATCATGCTATAGCATCCTTGCAATATATGCAAACGGATACATCGGCACAAAAGCATATAAAAACGACAAGTAGTTAGTCCAGCACAAATCAAATTATTAGCGCAAATATCTAATCTAATGCATTGATTCGATTAATGGTTAATTGCATATCAGCAGCCAATACAAACTGCTTATCTGTGCAAGTATATTATCAGTACAAGAAATTATCTATATTGCCATTAAACGATAATCCATGATTAAATATTGCTAAAATATTGCTAATTTTTCTCAAAAATCTACATAAAAGTGGAGAATACACACACACGCAGGAAAAGGTTTAAGCACAAGTTTTTATACGAGGCTTACTTGGGCCAGTCACTTCAAATAAGGTCGGCCCTATGAGGGACCGAAATTTTTCTGTTTCGTCATTGTCTACCCGATTTTTCACACTCTAGGGTGAGGTGGGCTGCCATGTTGAAGTTTCAATCCCCAAAACTATTAACGCTCAGTCCGTATACGGAAAAAACTTATTTTCGCAATGTTTTCGAAGCTCATCTACTATCTTTAAAGTGTACTTGGATTCTATTTCTATTTTTCAAGCTTCTGTGATTTCATAATGATTTGTTCAGATATGGCCGACCCGATTCTGACGAAAAAGATTCCCTCGCTTTTGCGGTTTATATCCTTAACGGTGGATGGGAATACAACGAAGGAATATCTCTCGTAGTAAAAGTATGGAAAGGCGACAAGAAAAACGTAATAAAAGTTTCACCCAAGAAAATTGTCATGGTAGGTCAGATTTATTTAGAATAATAGCCACCACCGGGACTCTGGGTCCCGGTATGCAAGGATTAGTTCCTCCTGATTGTATGCTTTTCCAAGTTAAGGTTCTGATATAATTTTGTAACGTTGGATAAAATTTTCGTGCGGTTGTAAATTGATAAATTTTTAGATTTTTGAAATCTTGTGATGAAATAATGCAGGTAACATTCGAAATTTATTGCCAAAAATATCGACCCTGTAAGTTTGCTGCTTTAATGGACTTCTGTTTTATTAACAAGCTGAAAAAGGCAGGTGCACAATGAAATGTAAGCTTTGAACTTGTCGAAAGTGTCTAATAGTTTGCCGTTAATTGTTAATAGTCACCATACGGAAGGGCGAAAGGACGCATATTTAGTGAACAGCCATACTATATCCCAATCTTACGCAATATTCAACTATTTAATATTTGACTTCTTCTGTTTCTCAGGTCGATGATGTCCGTGTTGCCGCTGGATCTCAAGTTGGACAAGTTTCTGTTGGAAGGAAATTAGGAAAGGTTGTTCTCAGCTTCGAATTCGGACTCCATGTTTTATTCAATGGATACGACTGGTACATGTTGTTCTATTTTCCTAAAATATGTCTGAATCGCTATTTCCTTGTATGAGTTTTAAGTATCGCCAAAAAAAAATAAACGGTTTAGAAATTATACATTTTCGTTTGTACTTAAAAATAATCGTCATTTCGATACGTTTCAAATCAAATATTTTGTCGAACTCCGTTACGCAGTTCATGAATCCATATCCTCAAAAAAAACTTTTTGGTATTTTGTTTTTGCTGGATGATAATATTTCGTTCCCTATAGTAACATTAGCGAATAAATAGTTTTATAACATGGTCCGGCACCGTTCCATTACTAGTGATAGTTTGTTATTCATAATAATAATATACACTTAATTAGTAGAGATATAAGTATTACATCTGGTGAGAATCTTCAACCTAGGCCTTTTTTTTTATCCAATCAGGGTTCGCGTTGACGTTGACCACAAGTACAAGGAGAAAATGTACGGTTTAGGTGGAAATTATAATGATCAACCTAGTGATGATATGCTTGTAGGAGGTGATATGATGTTTATGCCCAGACAATGGGGTGATCATTGGAGAATGGCCGAATTTAGCTGTAGCAGGTTAGCTGGAAAATATTTTAAAAAAACTGTATTTTTGAAAGAAAATGAAATGACATGTTTTGACGATATCAGTTTGCTGATGGATTTGCACGTTCGTACATTCTTAACTGATTTGTTAACTAATTTATGTTTGAATGTCTATTATATACAACAAAGAAGAATTATTTTTCTAGATTGATTATTATTAGAATTGACATTTTGCTACACAAAGAGACTCTTCCTCTTTTCTTCTATATGTACTCTCTCGGTGAAATTTATAAATTAGGATTGCACCGAGCATTCAACATACATATTTTGTTTAAAGTAGGATAAATCTTCGGTTGCGTTTCCTGGTTTATCATAGATCTGAAATTTTAGGAGAATAATGACTTTAATAAGAACATAAATTTGTATATACATATATAGTATATACTTTTATGGAAATTTTTCAAATCGCGCAAAGGATTTTGTCGCAAATGGTATCAACTCTACTTAAGCCACTCGTTTCCACTAAGGGTGAGAATAATGTTTCCGAAAAATTAAACATTGAATTAATACTATTTTTTACATTATAACAAGATGCAATAAAGATACTGAAGAAATTGATCGAACCTGCGCCCTGAAAGCTAGATATGAGAGATCTTGCGACTGTGGTGTGCTTACTGATACTGATGGTCCGTTCGCTGCCTGTCATGAAAAGATGGATGCTCAACCATTCTTCAAGAGTTGTGTGCTGAGTGCTTGTAGAAACCAGGGATCGTCGTTGGCTATTGCAATGATTATGAAAGCTTACTACTTTGCTTGTCTCGGAAAAGGAGTAAAGATTGAAAAATGGAGAGAGGCTGTTTCTATACGTAAGTTTTCAAATGTTCCCTAATTTTTAGATGTGGCAACACACTTAATTCCTAACTTGAATAGCCATAAATCGGCGTATCTACCAGTGCATAGGGGCAGTCATATAACGTTTATATAAGTTACAAATAGTTTTATCGCCAATAGCAATATATCTACCACTCCTAAATTTGGGACCTCCACCCATCTAAAAAGCAAATATGGGGAGCATCTTGCGTACGATTCTGCCAACTCTCCTACTCAAGCGTAGCAGTGGTGAGTTATGTTTGTAATGACCGCTCATTCTATGAAGTTAACGAAGATAATAGTGCGCGAAAATAGACAATTATTTAGAAATACAAAAGGTACATTGAATAAATTTCATTTGAAAATTGAATAGAGCCTAGGTATAAGATGTGGCTTTGTGACTCGTCGGTGTGGCACATCGTGCTAAGCGTTAGGAATACGCTCGCGACCGCATCTCTGATTACCCTTCGTGGAATCGCAGGTTCGAAACGACGCTCATTCACACCTTTCACTCCAAAAAATCCCCTATACAAGCTGACACTCGTATCTAACAAAGCCACTTTTATTTGGCAGAACCAGAACCGACTCGACACAGCCTAAGCCATTTAATACAGTTAAGTCTAAGGCTTTAACCGATCGCGGCGACTGAAGGTACCTGCAATTACAATTCGATAACTAATCCAAATAGTCATATTTAAATAAATAGACATTATTAATTTTTCATTCTATGAAGAGCCGCTTATATTAGTCTTAGTAGTGGTACTGACATACATTTTTTGTCTATTTACAGCGATGGAATGTCCTGAGAACAGTCATTATGTAGAATGTGCAAGCCAGTGCCAACCTCGTTGCGGAGAAAAAGATCCAGATTGCCGAACCTCAACCTGTGCAGAAAGTAAGCGCACAGTCTCTCATGATTCTTTGAAAAAGAATGATGTAGATATGAAACAAATCTGAGGAATTTTGTTTATTCAAATGTTTAATTATATTCAATTACCGGTATTTCTTTAAATGAGTTTAATTTTAATACATAATAGTTTCAAAGTTCATTTTTTTTGTAAACGAAAATAATTTTGCAGGTTGTGTATGTGACGATGGCTATATTCTCAGCAATGGAAAATGCGTTGATGAAGATAAGTGTGGTTGCATGGAAGACGATTACTATTTCGAGGTTCGTTACATAAGTTGATATATATGTATTATGGAAATATATTGTTAGGGAGGATTTATTCCTGCTCATTGTCTCAACACTGTGGCCGAAATTGAATAAGATTTAAATTACGCATAAGAAGTTTGATATTATATTTGTCCGCGGCGACACTCTCAGGCATTTATTTAAATATAGTATACAGACAGACAGACAAACATAGCTGGTAATTTCATCTCAATGCAACATTTATTTCATTATGTTTTTCTTTAGCATGGAGACTCTAGAACCGATTCTGAGTGTACAAGCCGTTGTACTTGTATTTATGGAGATTGGGATTGTGAAGACATCAAATGCAACGACGACCAAATGTGCGAATTGTTCAATGGAGCTCATGACTGCTACTGGAAAGGTAATAATTGTATTTGTGCAGTCAAATTTATGTGTCGCTTATGGGAAAAATGTTAAAACATTAGGGGTCAAAGTTTAAACTCAATCCAAATTTGTTACTTCCTGTTCAAATTGTAACCGATTGGTTAGTATCAGCTTTCGTTCTACTGAAAATAAATTGGAAAATGTTAATGAATCTAAAATACAACTTGGAATAACATTTTTTCGAAACATTATTTTAAATATTTTACGCTGCTGTGGAACCGATAGTCACAATCTGTCAAAAATGAGCTTTTCGAATCACTTATTCAAACTTCCACTCTACCTATATCCTATGAGGTAGAGAAATTTCTCCACAGACTTTGGCCTACTTCTCTGTCGAAGTGATCCGAGTTGCATGCGAACCTCTTGATCCAGCTCTATAGGTTCATTTGGAGGAAGGATTGATATTAAGCCAGAAAAGTCGGGTCTTTCAATAATACATTATTTTAATTATATATACATAATTTTTTTTAGACAAATGCAAGTACGACAACGGTGGGTGTGAAGATTCCTGCGAATCGATTGACAACGTTGCTTATTGTACTTGCTACCCTGGACGCATTTTAACTTGGGATAACAGAACATGCGTCGGTATTTCACCAAGTGAGTCTTTCTTGATAATTTTCGAATATAAAAATCATCTTTATCAACTTGGTCTCTCATAAAATATTTTGATCAAGTATATAGATTGTAGACATTAATTGAAGCAAAGTGATACAATCTCTGCGCAGCGTTATGCTTTTCATTGGACACAAAGTTGATCTATAGATCGTTCATTACCCGCTTGATTTATTACATACTACTTTCTGAGTCAGATACGAGACATGGATTAATAATTTCCGCCATTCTTATTTGTGTTTATTTTAATAGGTTTCTTTGGAGAAGGCATGAACAAATGTGACACTGAATTTAACGTTTGGAGACAGGAATTTTACAACTGGAAGAACACATATTTGTCGGCATGGGTGGAAGAACTGGAAGCCTACAAAGAATATGTTAAATCGGGAATCGTTTCAGATGGTAAATAAACACTAAACCTATACACATTTCTCATGTTTCCTTTTTGCTATTTCAATGAGTTGTTTTTGTTATTACTTGTGGGTTTGTACATTCGATGTACTGTATATGCAAATCCACAGTTTTAAAATCATAGCAAAAACATAAATATTAATTTAAATTGGCAGGGAAAAATATTGTTGCAAATGTAATTTGGTTGTAAACAAAAGTTTTACATAATTTTGAGCGTCATCGGCACTCAACACAGTACAGACCATATAATCTGACCAATTATCACCATTTACTTAATTTCACTAGTAAACATCATTTATTGTGTCAACTGATTCAAAAGCTTTTATTTACAGTGATTCGAATTAAATTACAGTCTTGTCATGAGCTTGTATTTTACTTTGCGGGCCTGCTTAAACTGCAACCCATAAAATACTATTCTTTATTGGGTGCTCCCGTAGTGTGTGTACCAAGATGGCGCACAACCTGAATACAGTATGTGTACTAGGTTAGGCTTCAGGTTGTTCTTCATATTGGTACACATATTCCCGGAGCGCCCTTTATTGTACCAAGGAGCTTGGTATTTAATCATATATGTTCAGGACAGTCATTCAATTCAAAGGTACAACCATTCATATTTCAAATTATCACGCTTGGCAAACTATACAATATTATTTGGGTTCAGGTCGAAGTTAACGCTTGTTATTAGTTTAATTTCTTATTTTTCATCCAGCTATGAATCTTTGCCGATATTCGTGGACAAAATGGTATGACATTGACGATCCAGAAGGGCAGGGAGATGAAGAGAAATTAGAATATCTGAAGCGAGAATATCCTGAAATTTGTGACAAACCCATTGCTGGAGAAGGAAGAATGGCCAACGAAAAGTAAGCACTCGATATTTTGTTTTGTTTTCGATTTTTTCAGTTTTAAAACAATTCTTCCTGAATTTAATTTGAAATGGCAAGGCTATGTAAAGTAATTATATTCTAATTTTATTCTCTCGAAAACGTTTTTTAATTTTTTTTTAAAATTTATTCATTTTCCTATTTATTCACTCCATCACAGGAGCATCGGAACCGCAATAGCTAACTTTTCAGTGGATCATACGGGATTGATCTGTAAAAATGCTGATCAAGAAAAAGGAAAGAAATGTCCTGATTTCGCAGTCAGATTCCTATGTCCGGTTAAAGAAGATAATGAAGCTCCAAGATGCGGTTGAAGAACTTCATAGCTATCGTACTTCTTTTTCATAAAAATAGCTTCTTATTCATTGCTACATTTAATTGTGATGAGTCTCTGTAGAACTTAAAATCATATGCTCAAACACTAATTTTTGGAAAATGTATATCTTTAGCATTGTGGTATACCTTAATCGTATTTATATAAGAATAAGCTTCAATTTTTAAGTCTCCATTAACATTACTAATTATTTAGTGCTCGCCAAGGTCATCTTTGAAAATTTTGCTTCTCAATTTTGTATATTTAGTGAGTGTAAATGTGTTTAACAATGTCAAATACTCGTAGATGATAACGATAATGGAAACAACTCAATTTCCTCATATTCTGATCGTTAAAATACCTCGCATCAATGTCGGGTTTATTTCTCCAATAAACCCGAAAATTGCATTTTTCAAAGAAAAAACACCTTTAAATTGAGATGAAATATTTTTCATTTTCTCAACTTATTCCTCGTCTTGATAAGCAGAATTTGTTTAAATATTCGTTTTATGAAATATGCACTTTATACCCACCATGTAGTTCGGATTTTTAAATAAATAAATCTGTAGTGCCTTTATATACAATATTTTGTATTAAATTTTGTCTAGCTGGGTCTAGGTCGTCATCAGTTATGTTTTCAGAAGCTATAAATCTACCAGGAGCCTATATTTTAATATAGGAATGAATACATGCAAAATGCCTAATCAGTACTAGAGTTATTCACGTTGCACGAATGAGTTGAAAATTAAAATAACTTGGAGAAAATTTTTGTTTCACAATAACTTATGTCGTTATATTTGATTTGTGAAACTGATATGAATAAATATATACATGTCGTTGAAATGCAATTTTCCCGCGTAGCTTTTAATGAGCGAATCCATTTTAATAAGTGAGACTGCACAGTGCCACGCGTAAGAGGCAGAAATATACTACCATATGATATTGACAATATTACATCATTTTGTGCCGTTTGATCAAGAGGGCAGTCACCCCCCATATTTTTGGGGGGGTGAGGGGGTTTAATATATACGGCCGACGTAATACACTGCTCACAAGTGCACACACATGGCGTTGAAATAGACTACCATATATGAATAGCTTTGAAGATGTTACTGTGGTCGAATGTTTAGAATTCCCGACCTGTTACAAACGAAACTGCCGTTCAATAATCGGGTGTAGATATTTGTATAGAAAACCTTTCTGCGTAAACGCGAATAATCCTTAATTGAATATTCGTTAGTGTAAACGAATATAAGGTTCGAATCCAATGAAAACAGACAATATTATATCGTACTGTACACGTACGCCCGAGAATTTCAAGTCCATGTGATTCAATTTCGCACCGCATAGAGACAGGATTGCCTTTCGGGATTGTTTGAATTGTTGTAATTAACGTAGTCTTGTTGGGACATGTCTCCCAGTGTCTTTCATTGAGATTACCACGCCTAGACGAACAATGGTTAAATCCTCTGAGATGCGTTAGTCGAGACACAGCCACGTAATTAAACTCAAATTCATAAAATATGATTACGGTATAATTATATCTTGCTGAACTTCATTGTCCACAAACTTATTGTCAGCTGTCGTGAGAGCAAGCAAATCTTTGTTGTTGACGTGATAGCAATGGCAATATAATACTTTCTCTTTGAAAAAAAAATCCACATTTTTTTTCATCGAAATAATATTATTATTAGATATCGATTTGATTGAAGATGTTGACGACTAGCATGCTTCAAAACCTTTCGCATTTCTGAAGTCCTCGCAGATTATTAACAATCGCCGAAGGAGAATTTTCACGTGAAATACTCATACGAAAATTTATTAAATATTTAATAAGAAAGTGTTGAATCAATATCGCTGTGGTGGTGTTTGCTGCAATGACAGCGATGAAACAGGAATCCGGTTTCCGGACAACTGGATGGGTGGTGATTGGATATCTGATAATGATATCTGGAACGACCACAAATTCGGTTGAAGCTAGTGACCACGTAGCTGGAAGACATTTTTTCGGTGGATCCATGACAATGAAAGCCAGCGAAAATTACAGAAAAACAAATAGAGAAGTAAGTTTATTCCATTTTCTTTGCTTCTAACGCAACATAACACAAAACAACATTATTTTGAGATTTTAGCAATACAATGATAATCATCAGACAAAAATAACCAATTAAAAAATCGTCTATTTCAAAATCTAATCGGCAATTTTATCTGTATTTATAAATCATCTCGATAGAGCCGTTGATCAAAATAATTTCTTACCCATGCGTCCAATTTGTAAATTATGTGAAATTAGTTCCACTTTTGATTACACGATTTCATCACGAGTTCAATTTCAGATGATATTTGAATTTCAAATCGGGTGGCAACGAACGACCGACACTTGCAATGCAGATTCCATATTGAATGATTTGGAAGTGGAATTTGATGGTAAATGGGAGAAAAATCCACCTTGCACTACTGATTGCGATTTGGGTCATAAAAGTAAGTATTACGTTCTTGGGATGTCGTGTCATCAGCGAAACCGTTCCTTTTGGTTTACACGGCTGAAGATCGTAGCAAATTTGGGTTCGATAAAAAAGAGAACTACTGGTTCCTAAAATCGAATACCATATCTGCTTCTGAACGTTTTGTGCCATTTTCATACTGTTTTAATACTCACATTGAATTACGCAATACGCACGTATGTATATGTCGGTAGCTGGCGACTACTGCTACATCTGACTTTCAAAGTTTGGTATTAGGTTCATTTATGTAAAGCAGGGGTAGGCAAACTTTTGTCGTTCGCGGGCCAAAATTAAATGTTGCAAGTCATTGGTGGGCCGCACATACTTTTAGAAAGGTAAAAACCGAAGGAATGGCCAATGAATCACAATTTGAACCTGTTTTTAGTGGGCTTGACACAAAAGAGAACCAGTTCATGTAAATTTTGAATCCAGCCTCTGACTCACTTAGTATTCTAAGACAGTATGTGCGGGCGGTTTTGCGATCATCAATTGTGGTCAGTCACACAATTTGTATTTCTTACCTTCATCCGGGACTGTGAACGCATATGTTAAACATCTAACTGATAAATGCATCCTACTGTAACAGCGAGTGTGTCCACATATATATGTGTGAAACACGAAACTTAACGCCAAACCCCGACGCCGAAACGGGGCAGTCGGTATTAGGCGGAAGTTTCGTTCCAAAACACGCCGAGCAAAATTGCGAAGCCTGAATCGTCCAATTATTAAGAACCCCCAACTTCCGCGTCCAAATATTCAGGATTTCGGAATTACCGTATTTTTTGGCGAATAAGTCGCTTTTCTAGACCCAATTTTTTGGCCTGATTTTGAGGGGGTCGTCTTATTAGGCGAGTATGATAATTTTCATTTTTTTGGTAACGCCTTATTATCTATTAGGTAATGTTCTTTTATGGTGAACGCAATTGCGAGTTGAACACAATTAGATTAAAATTTAAAGACAGTTTGAATTCCCGTAGTTAATATGGATTGAATATTACGCTACAAGAAAACGTCATCATAGGCTATTTCACCCAATGCGCAAACGCGGCGACCGCTCAAAAGGCATTGCATGGTAATTTGAGATTCCTATGTTGATTCGATTTTACTACCCCGACTAGTTACAATTTTGGACTAAATTTATGTTAATCAAATGCTTTAGAAAGCAGAAGTTTATTTCTGGGTCGTATGGAACCTACGTGTGCATATATCATTGTCGGATGAGGAGGTCAATTATCTAACGAAGTTACGCAGTTTATTGACAAGCAATGCCGACAAAAAAGTTCGGTGTCTCATCGTCTGCGTAAGCCAGCTTTAACAGTTGGATTTCTAGATTTCGCGATTTTTGTGCGCGCAGTTAGACGCTCGGCGTCGTGCCTGAAAAAAATTCTGGCGAATTTGGAAGTTCGGGTTCGGCGATAATGTTTTGCGTCAGATTACTTGTTTCATATTTGGACGTAATGTTTCTAGATATATATTTTCCCTGAAATTGACTTCATTGTTTGCTTCGGTAACAACAGCTAATCAATCACCAACAATGTAAGCCATGGTCTCCAATCACCATTTGTAGCTAATATTATATCGTTCATGAGGGATTTTAGGTAACTTTTGCGTATATTCTAGGTTTTAGTGTTGCATTTGTACCCATTGACAACTTCAGAAGTTATATATTTACTAAATTTCATGACAGAGTTAACCTGCAGTGAATATGATGACTCAAATATCAATCCAAAGTTGAATTGGAATTTTGGGAGCAATATTTTCACCCACGTTTTTGAATCCAGAGGATTACACAACATAAGGTACGTGAAGTCGTGAGTCTCGTCTTGAAAAGCTAAGAAATTCTAACAAGAATCCATAATACTGGTCAAGACAACTTTTTGCGGAACCGGTATTAGGCTGCAACCAAACAACTGCACTTGGTTCAGGATACGTTACCTCAGGTCATCGTGACTCAAAGATTCTCTCTGGCGGCGAGTCACAATCATGCTAAAGTTAACCAGGCCCCAAAATATTTAATAACAAAATCAATGTTTAGATAAAAATAATGACCATATGACCCAGATGCAATAATTTGGGAAATAATTGCTGCGCTTTCATCTGATTTTTATTCATTTGAAGTTGGTAAATACTTTTTGTAATCTTTTCTTTTCAGTGTAAGAGGATGCTGTTGGCATGGTACGGATGATAGTTGGATGATGACAATACAAGCAAATGTCGGAATACGTTCAGACACAGGAGTTCCAAATTCATCACCAGCTACTTCAGCTATGCCTGTTGTTGAGTGAGTTTATTTTATATTTGGCTGGAATAAAACGGAATGGTTTTCACAGAATTAAAAATAGTTTATTCGAGTATGACAAAGTTTTACAATATTGTTACAAGGTCTAAAGTCTTTTTCTATTTTATATACTCTAGAAATATTTGGAAACTATGGAATAAAAGATGGAGCAGAAAAATAAGATATTAAACGATATAGAAAAATATAAAATTCATCTTTGCCAAATTAGTTTTCGAATTTTTAGTTCTCAGTATGACGTGGTTTTTCAATCAAAAAGCAGTTTAGATTATAATCTAATATATTTCATAACGGTTGTTGATTGAGTCTATTTCAGACGAGACTAGTTTTAATAAAAAAAAATTAATAACTTTCCGATGCAATAAAATTTTGAATTAAATTGATATGAAATATTAAAAAATGAGCCTTCCTTTTTACTTGTATTTGTTATTAAAAACATTTTAATATATTTGATTCTGGTTGTCAAATGAGATTATTCAAGACGAACATCAAAATAACCAAAATAATAGGGATATATCATGGAGCATTTTTTGTACTATTTTCTAGATTCCAACTCGAACGACCTGCACTACGTTCTATTCCCGTGCGTGATTCTGATGGTGACACAATCATCTGTAAGCTACAGGAAGGATCCAGATTACCAAAAGGAATTCAGATTAAGGAGGTATAATTGTACGGTTGAGATACCGTCAATTGATATTTGAAATTAAACTTGAAAAATATTTACAGAAACCATGGTTAATTTACAAACACGAGTAATAATTGTGGTCGGAGAATGATGCTTGTCTCGCTACAACTACATTCTTTGTGTCGTTATTTTAGTGGATCAAGGTTGCCCCAGTAACAATCATTACGACAAAACTCGGGGATTATAACGTCATTATGACAAGACAAATATGATTGCCTCGACTCTATAGTATTATTTTTATTTTTTACGCACCTGCAGCCCGATGTTGTTGTCAATGTAGATTTTTATTTTGAAACACTACTTGACTTTCAAA